CACAATGAGGAAACTGGCTTGAGGTGGTTTTTGGGTACCCTTCCTTGAATTTAACGACAAGGTCTTCATTCTTTGTTTTTAATAACAGAATTCCAGTCTACGCCTTCGGCGGCTTTTGTCGACTTATAATCATTAACAACGCTGAGAAGTAATACTATTTCTTCATCCGTCCACATAAAATTTTTTCAGCCATTTTAAAAAGTTTTTCCCGCGCTAACAGCAGCTTTATAGTGCCTCATATGCGCATGCGTCAATAAATGATTACGGTCTCGAATTCGTCCGGGTCCGTGTGAACACTTTCTGACCTGTAATTAATTCGACCGGTCTCGTGTGAACAGCTGTAATCGGATGAATTCGTGCATGGTCTCGAATTCGACCAGTCTCGTGTGAACGTAGTCTTAGTCGCTGATTGGCTACAAGTTAACAGCTAACAGTTAACAGTTACACAGTCGATAGCAATATATCTGCGTTAGCGCAGATACAAAAAACATACAGCCCGAAAGACGCCCGAAGGAGATTTCCGACCGAGTGTTTCCGGAAATGCCCAATTAAGGCAAAATATGTACTTGTAGCGTATGATATTTAGTACAAAAATAGAGCAGAATTTGATAAACAAAATGGTGGACGAACCGTCACTTTTGGCTGAAAAAAAAAGAAGACAACGCTACGAAGATAAGTCATTGCTTCATACTTTCCACTATGCATTTTTGAGATTGAGTGAAAAATTTGTTTGTTGAAATATTGCAATAACTCGCCTAAAACGCGATGAAAATCTACGAAATCAACACAAAAGAAAGATTATGATATATTCTATACGGTTGTATGATCTGGCTGTCCCAAGTATTTGTTTTCCCAAGTTTTTAAATTTTGAATTTACCTGTTACCCTTATTGGTATTCTTCTCTCATTCTCAATTTTCATATAGGTTTTGTGCTGTTAGTCTATCAACAAAAAGAGGACAGGTTGCTAAGGGAAATGAAAGTTTAGTCGACCTCTAAACATAACAGTTAAGACTAGGGAAAGGACCGAGGTTCGATCCTACTGATGCTGCACCAAGCTTAATTTCTATTTTCCCCACGGGACTTGTAGTTTTAGGTAGACGTGTCGAAAATTTGTTTACTTCATTTTCACCTCTATTCGAGCATACCGTTTTTATTTTTAGTCTTTTAATAGCTGTGACCTCAAATTTATATTTTGTTGCGTGTTTCATCAAATCGGGAATTGCAAATCAGTTTTCTTTTGTTTATGTTGCATAAAATTCCCGATTTGATTTCTCATCCGGCGGTAACTTTAAAGGCGAATAAATCCACCAAGACAAAGTTTTTCAATAACAAAATGTGATTGCAAAGTTTTTTTAAAATACCTTAAACTTTTGATACATTCCAAACCCCAATCGGTATTTTCATCAGTTTAATCAAAGTTTTAGGCAAAGAGAAGAAATTTCACACGCTCAACATGCGCAAATTCTTGATATTTGTGCGCATGGTGTGTAGTCCCTTACAACAAGTGTGTAAGGGTGGTCAGATTTATTTATATAGCGTTATTTAGAAGTTGTATGCGAGGCTCTTATTTTCAAACAACCCAGAATAGCCTACGAAGTCATTTTACCCTATAAGACGATCTTTCGATAGAAAATTCTTTTACAAAAATTTTCAAATTCCTTGTATTCTTTAAGAATTCTTAAATTACATGTAGTTATTGCAACATTGAATTCATTTAATTGCTTGGCGGAGATGTCAAAATATTTTGAAAAGTCGTGCAACGTGTACACTGATCAGATAATAATCAAATAGTTTCCTAAATCTTTCGTTAAACCAGAGTTTTCGTTAATGTTTATATTTCTGATATTGATGTTTTGGTGTATGAATATTAAGGGTCATATTTCGCCGAGGAGCATATCTAAATTGGGCATTTAGAACACACTTAAGTGTTTATGCTGAGCTGATGCACAGCCACCCACAAGATTATATAATTAGTTGCTAGAGGGCAATTTGATGAGAACAATAGTTAAAGCGCGTCATCACTTTAACCCCTGCTGTTTAACTTCTTCCGTGTAGAAGAAAATTATGCAGATATGGAGCCTCAGTAACAACATAATACAAAGATCGCTATCGTGAAACTTTGCTTGTTTGTATATTATGCAAAGTAAATAGTTTTTTATTTAAGATTGGAGGATTTTGATTACTTGGACAATATTCATCCCAATTGGGCATGCAGAACACACTTACCAATAGTCACACTCACATTCATTGGGTGTGACATATTATACATTTTGTTAATGCTGATCTACGAGAAAGTTCTTCCACAGCAACAATTTTCCATGGTTACCAGTTAAGTAAAGAAACAAGTTAAAACTTAAAAATTCCTTATCGGCAGGATTCCTCTATCACTATATGAAAATTTAATAACACTCGATACTCCCGACAGACTCCTATGAAACGATTTAGAAAAGGTAAGTGTTTTTTCTATTTCACTTTTAATATACTTGATTTACTTACAAAATCTGAGCAAACCAGAGTTTACTTGAAAAACTTGAGGGAGTAATATAATATTCACCGGTGTCTATTTAATGTTAATGTATTAATCAATTTGACACCAGTAATATCCTAAATTACTCTTTATTTGTCCGACGTGTTTGCCTCAGTTATCTGCAATAAACTGAAGAAAAGAATTGCGATGCATAACATTGACTACCGCGAAATGTTACGAAGAATCTCAATCTTTCAATCGATCATCTCAAATACGTTATATTGTAATTATAATTGGATTTGTTGCTACAAACATTCGAGTTGTCATTGAGCTTAAAGAAATAGAAGAGTGGCGGGAAAATTATTTCCAGGAGACCAGACAAACTTCAAAGTACCTGTCTACCTGAGCCAGCATGGCATTATACCAAGAACAAATTTTTCGAAATTTTGCACCATGCACAAGTATGGCTGAATAAAGGCGGATTTCCACTTACAGCGAAATCGTTCGCTAGCGAAATATTTGCATATTTTCTTTTGAATTGAGAACAGTCAAGTCGAACTAATTTATTTATGCTGTTAAAATTCAAAAGAAAATATGCAAATATTTCGCTGGCGAACGATTTCGCTGTAAGTGGAAATCCGCCTTAATGCTATTAAGCCGGCGAAATTGACATATTATAAAACAGAATATTTTGATTTTACCGTGCATAATATTTCTTTATTTGCTTCAAAGTTCAATGTAAAGCAACTTGCACAAAAACCTCTACAGTTCATTTACATGCATTGGTACGTAAAATGAAGGCTAGCTTTTTAACTTCCTGTGTCATTTACACACTCTCAACTACGTGCCCGTATATACTGGGCGTTCAGTGTACTTGCTAATTTTAAGCATTTTAGAAACTATATGTCAACTTAATTCTATCCATCACCCAACTTGTAATTCATTTGCCTCTATAGCAGAAAGGCGTTTCTGCCGGATCTCTATGTGGGCATTCTAACAAAATTTTTCGCCCGAATTTTATTGAGCAACAAAAACGTCATTAGTTCATGTTTGCCATTGTTTAGCTGTGCATGCCGCGATCTTATAAACACGGATCAATGTCGACAATGCAAGCCAGAATAAGCCTGGTTCCATTAGTCGTAAGTGTCGGAACATGTTAAGGTTGCTAATGGATAGATTTAATATATGTGTGCAGTCACAATGACCGATTAAATACAAAAACAAACAAATTTCAAACTGGACATCCATACGAAAATTACTTGTCACGACAATAATGAATCTCCAGGCCTGTCATTGGAAAGTTAATATTATGTACGCAATCCCCGGGAGAGTCTTCTGAGTACTGTGTATGCATGCATGCATGGTAAGGGTCAGTTGCATCAAACTTTACAAATGCTTGTCTGGACTCGATCTTCTGAGTAACACATTAGATATAAATTGCTTTCCAATGCATATTGTTAGATCATTGATGTATACCGGAGAAGTACATTTTAAACTAAGACAGTTTACGGAAAATCCCAATAAGTAATGGACTTTATCTGCTAAGATACGTGTAACAATTAGCTGCATATTTCCGCACGAAATACAAAGTTATTTCCTCATTTTGATATACCCTTCTCGTTGCAAACATCTAAAATAATTTACAGCGGATAAGGTCATGATGGAACAAATGGTAAATAAACGTTCGATAAAAGATGATTACACCGGGGTGGGTCACTTCAGATCGATTTAAAGCGCAGCTTTTATGGAAATCTGAACTACTTCTAGCTGGCTCAGATCGCTTGTTTCTTCATGGAGAAGAACTATTTTGGCAATTTTCTTTGATTTAATACGGATGACATTTGTTCCTTTATCTAAATAAACCGCAAACTCTCTGTCCACAAAAAGTGAAAAGTAATTTGGCATATTTTAAAATCAAAGGTGCTCGTAGGTGAAAGAGACGAACAACAGTAATTTCTGCACCAGCAGGGAGAGAGCAAGAAAGTGCAATTTAATATAATATTTTGTCTTTGACGGTTAATGTGAGGTATATACTCAGTGTCTGGCGCTAACTAAATGAGCCACAATATACCATTATATGATTATTCATAGAAATAAGAGCGATGATTCTGAAGACAAATCAGTTGTTTCTATGCTGTCTAATAATGTCACTGTGGGTAAGTGAAACTAATTGGTTTCAAGGTAATGTGGCATCGCACTTATTCTGTAAATGCTTAATAGCAAAAATTAATATAAAGAAAATACAAATAATAGGTCTACAGGGACCGCGGAGCCAGCTATAGGGGGGGGGATGCGGGGGGCTGGGATAGCACGAGAACATACCCATGTGGGAAGAACTTCAAACTAATAGTAACAATTTACTTCAGAATTCCTTATTTTAATTCCAATTAAAACCACCAATGCATTAAAGACAAATAAAGTGTCTATGAGAAAAGTCCAGGTCTTGGCAGTCTTCACGATCAGATATCCCGTATCCTGCGATTAGATTATGTTCTTTCAAGTAAAAAGGGCTAATAACCAACTTCTTGTATAGGAGATGTAATTTACCAAACCATCGCAATGGATTCGGATGAAAAAGTCGAGATGGAACAATCATGGGAGCAACAGAAAATCATAAGTAAGGTCAACAATATGGCATTGCACGTTCTCTTGTTTTCTACGCAAATTAGCTGCTTCAGAAACGAGATACTGCGAAAATTATAGGAATATCACATTATTTGACGATTATTCCAGTTGATAATTTCTGAAAACACACGCGGAATGAAAATTGTTGCGAAAGAGGAAATTGAAGCATATTTATTTATATATCCTATATCCCCTATTTAAAATAAAAGAAATGTTATAATTACAACACACAAAGCATGTTTCACACAATATTGTTTTTGCTTACAAAGTATGAAAGGAAACCGGTGGTGTAGTTGCCCCCCCCCTGCAGTGGTATAATAATATACTCAAATTCAAATTCCGCGATACGGTGTTGTATTACAGGTTCTCAATTCTTGGCAATGTCACATATGAGTCCCCGATTTTTGAACTATGATAATAATCTCATCCCGCACGTCACGCGCCGACTGCATGTACCAGTTCAAAACCAGAGTAATTGCGTGAACACTGTGTGTCCACGAAAAAAATGCTAGTATTTGGGAAAATTATTACTGAAAAAAAAAACACTAAAATTTTTCAGTATTAGGCTGCGTTCAGACTGAGTGCCAAGCACTGGTGGCCGTCACTTTTCCTGGCGCCAGCGAAATATTTCCCTGATCTATAAATATAATACGTGTACATTTCATACCAGTAGAAAGAGAAGGATTTATACAATGTATGTATGTAAAGTTAATTTAAGGACGCTAGTCCTGTTCAAAAGCATTTTTTACATCGCCTTAGGTAATTAGTCTTTGGAATAGCGCCCAACACCGGAGTCTTCTCTTTAACCTTCTAAATTGTTTGGCTCTTAAAAATAGAACTAAACTGGTTTCTTGAACAAGAAGACAAATCAAGCAACCTGTTAGTCGCACTTCTTGAACAACCAGTAAAGCAAATCCGGGTGAAAAGGGATGAGCCAGGTGGATGCGGTGATGACCCAGGTATATAACAAAATCGAATACGTTCATACTCTCTGAAAACATGCACTATAGTTAAATTCAACGAAAAATTGGGTCAATTGTCCACAAAACATATTTATTCTCTTTCGTTGTCATTTTTTTTGTTTAAACGCCTTACCCATGCGAGTGGTTGAGTTATTCATAGAAATAAAAAAAACTGTTATTGTAATATAGTCCAATACTTAATATAAGTTCAAGTTAATGCATGTTACCAAATACGGACATACGGACCATAAAAGGAGAAACGCATAAAGGAAAAGGTCGTTCGTTCTGACTGGAAAAATATTCATAGGCAAATCATGTACTACCATTTTCGTTCAAGCGTTGAGTGCGATTTTTCACGATGTTTCTGTTATGAAACGTTTCGTTTCTTTGTTAAAACTTTCACGTTTTCGGCGCGAAACGTACAACTTTTATAGGAAATAATTATGTCAACGTTTGACACGTCATTTCGACAAGCCGTTGTTGCTCAAACAACTTCGCACGTTTTTCTAACACTTTAATTTCCACTTTTATGTTACATTTCACTGTAATTCTGATTGAAGACACTCTCACGGTGCGGGAAACTGCAGTGAATGTGTCTACGGGAACGAATTCTATCTGCATGGTTGCCGAATTCGGTTGCCGAAAACGCCGGTCACGTGTGGACGCAAGGCCAAAACGGATAAAAAACCTTCGTTTTTAAAAATATCCGGATACGTGTGGACTAAGATGATCCATAGATGCGATAAGTCAAATAAATAATGTCAGTTTAAATATAATAGATAGCTAACGAACCATATGGACCGGCCATAAAAACACCGATGCCCAAATGAGTGTGGTGTATCTCAATGCTATTTGGACTTTGATTTTCAAAATGAATATTAAACCAAAATTGTGGTTGCGCTTGCGATGATCTAATAAATAAAATACAGAACATGATTGAGAGACCGCGATGACGATGACCTACGAGGTAAAACGAAAGAGAAAATGTTTTGGTGAGTCAAAATATGTCCAAAAGCTATTTGTGTGAAGTCACATATTCGCCTTCTACTGCTCGACTAAGACTGCACTTATATCCTTTAGCTCAAAAACATAACGAAAATACCTTTTTTAATTTTAGAGACCATACTACATCGTGTTCAGTTAACATTAAAACAAGACTATACAGCGGCCCTTGGCAATGCAAGTTCTCAAGAGTTTAGAAACTTGAAGACAAGGATTGAAAACGCGGTTTGTTTAGTTTATATTACATATCCTTTGCAACATGTAAAATCATACAATCCGACTTTACAAATTAATAGTGGCGGTTTTCTTGTCTTTCCTGTAATCTGATTGGCTCTAGCAGCGCTTAAATTTTGCGCCACCGTCAAACGTCATACGCATGCCATCCGCATGCAAGAAGTGCGGACTGAATGAAATGGTTACACAATTAAGGAAGATCAGTTGTGACAATCTTCATTGAATTGAGGAAAATTAATCTCCTCTCGTGAATTACGTTGCTCATGCGCAGACGTTTGGCCGCGGCGTTTATTTGAACATACATCGTCTGGAACTTTTGTATATATCAGTGTAATGCTCAAGCGAAAGTTTTTTTCGAGAATAAATACTTATATTTTTAAATTGAAAATATGGAAATAGGTAAATTAAGACAAGACATTTAAATTTATTGTTTGAAGCGTTAAAGGAGTGATCTTTTCAAACTTTGAATTTTAGTTCGAGACAGTATTCAAGAAAACGGGCAATGATGAAATTTGGGAGTTGAAATAACAAAATAGGTAACAGGAAATCTTTTAATTGGTTGTTTTGAACACGTGGAATGTTCGGCTTCTTCTCGTTGAATGGAACATCACACCTTATATCTTGCCATTGCACTATAAACGTTCATTATTAGCATAATATTTTCAAAAACCTTAATTACATTTCGATGAAATATTTTTAGAGGTCAATTTTTTATTAGATAATGGGTTTTAAAGATAGCATACATATTGAATACTTTCAACTTGGCTGAATTTTACTCTATTTAACTGGGCTTGAATGGGATTTTCCCTATGAGCCAAAGCCCAAACAAATTTAATAAACGAACTATGAAAAATTCCGCCTGCTCAGATTCTTCTTCAGGAAAATAGCCTTCATAATGAAAAATGATCAAGGTCGATGTTTGAAAATTGAATATAGAAAATAAATGTCCCTAATAAAAATAATTGCTCTCATATCACAGGCTAGTACAGTCATTCATTATTGAATATGAATATTTAATGTCAGGCAAATCAGATAAAAAATAATATCTTTTTAGAAATATATTTATTACGGTTCTTGTATATTTTTATCTAGCTATTATTTGTTCAATAATAACCTTGCTTTTTCTTTCATTTCACCAGCTCTGGAAGCGTTATCGCAGATATGGAGGTGTTATTTAAAAAAGGAGATGAAACCGGAATAATGGAGCTGCTAGCTGCTGTACGAAATAACTCATTTGGTGATTTTGATGTTGATCCTAACGCTCTTCAAGTTGTTATAACAGGTACGGCAAAAAATCTTATCATGGGTATATAGGCATAACACGCATGACTTAGGTACCTTAAAGTTAATTGTTTTCATAGTCAATGAACACCAAAATATTAGCATAGCATGACTAAATTTTCGGGCTGGCTACGCCACATATATTTTTAAACGTTGAGAACACATCCATATCGAGGTACGTATAAAGTGTCAATGAACTCTGACTTTAAGATACCTATAGTAATTTGTTTTAGCATATATAATATTTTTAGTGTTAACTTGTGTCAAACAAAAGAGTAAAAAGAAAGTGTATCGAATTTTGGCATGCCCCCACCGCTGAAGACCTCTCGACCCTCGAATACTGTTGCGCGTCAAATTAGAGTTAAAATCTACCTGCATGGTATTTTTGCCTCATTGTGTTTTTTAATCGTTTATAGGTGCATGTCCACCAAATGGTCCTGACATCTGCCCAGGAAATTCAACATGTGAAACGCTGACTGAGAGTACAATAAAATGCCCTTGCATTAAAGATTTTTACTTTGACGGTGTTACATGCATAAGTAATTATTATATTAATTTAATATAACTCAATATTTGTCTAATACTCTAGCTACGCATTTTGAAATCAGCTGTTTAGAATTTGTGTAGCAACAACACATGGCCATGCCTATAAAATTTATCAAAAGGTAAAATGGCGGCGAATACGCGTACACTTCTTTTTAGAAAAACCTTTGAATGAAATATTTACAAAACATACCTTTTTGCGAAACGCGTTTGCACATTAACACAGTGGCTTTTTATAATGTTAACGTTCTTAAAAACGCAATCATATTAACCGTCCTTTTTGAGAAAACCATGTTTGATATTTCTTTGTAAAAAAGTGTACAGTCCGACATAACAATAGCCATTTGTGAGATCGTGATGTCCATATTTCTCAATCGTAAATATTTGAAGCACTTAATGATTAAAACTTAATTATTTCCACTTTAGAAAACGTCGTTGTAAAAGTTGAAATAATCTTAGAAAGGGAGTTTACCCCAGCGTTGAAGAACGAAAGCTCAGAAGAATATATAGAGTTGAAAAAGAATATTACGAATAAGGTAAATCTGAATTCTCTTTACGGAAGTTGCACTTTAATATGAAAAAGTTCTCTTTTTCAGTAGTGCATGCATGCTAGACTCTTCTGATATCATAAGCCTACTGTATTATAACCTTTTCAATTAGCAATAATTGAGCGCGGTAACAATATCTTTATGCGAAATTATTCGATATATACATGTATATATCGAATATGCACTTATACGCCTGTATTCTAAAAGCTCGCTCACACTCATAGTCATTGAGTGGGAGTTCTTATTCTTCTTATAACTTTCCATGGCGGTATTAAATCTTTTCATTGACTAAGAAGAAACTTTCTAATTGATCAGTAATAACAAAATTTCTATGTGACACTCAAAGAGTGAGTGTTTATGAGCTTTCTGAATACAGGCGTCATCATTAGAATAAACCATGGTAGTATAGTAAATATACGACAGTATTGAAAAATGATCTAAAATCTTATCCTCGTGTTGCGGCACGAGACGTTGTTCTCGTGCATAACCAGGATTGTAGGACTATATTTAACCTCAGTGGCGTAGCCAGCCTGACGATTTTGTCCCGCTATGTAAATTTTGTGTTATTATAATTATTCCTTTCCTTAGAATTTCATTGTTTTCACAGTCAATAAACAACAAAATATTAGCATAGCGGGACAAATCGTCAGGCTGGCTACGCTACTGTTTAACCTTAAGTGTTATTGCAAACGAACAAACAAAATCGAACGTCATTCAATAGGAATGAATGGAAAGTCAACAATCAGCTACATATCATTTTAAAATTTCAAACATTTTATCCTTTTTTATACAAAGTAAAATGCGATGGAGTTTTTTAGACTGGAAATGCCGAAAAGAAAAATCGAAGGCAGGGTGACAAAAATAAATGCTAGATCAGGCATGCAAAGTTATTTGGCAACGCCTAGAGCAAGTACATTAAATCGAGAATTAAAATATATTTTGCAAGCCTTTGCTCTCATGTCAATTCTTATTAATTTTGTTTAATACACCGAAACTATCGTTTCCTAGGACAGCTCAGATCTTTATTCCGGTTTAGTATTTTCAACGACATTTAGCTTTTGAGAAAAATTTTAGTGGAGGGGAGGTGGTATTGCACCACATAATAATGATATCAATGATCTGTTTTGTTAGCTAACGGAGACTTTTAAAGATACCCCAAACTTTGAACGCGCGGAAGTCACGGGATTCAGGTAGAGTAGCGTATATATTTGTGAAAAAAAAGAATGTGCGCAACTGATTAAACATATATGAATATATAAAAAAGGTGCGCAGTCATGAGAAAACAAGCCTGACCCGCCCAAGCACTAGGTTATCCGATTTACTTTTTATAACAGTAAAACAAGTACCATATAATTTGCATTGCAATGACGTTGTCAAAATGTTTCAATTTTGAAAAAAAATGAATTCAATTGTGACAAAATGAATGGATCATATAAAATTTGACTGAAATAATTAACCTGTAAAAAGTCCAAGACCACCTTGCAACTTTAAAATCATGGAAATATGAACAAGGTTAGAATAAAATAAAGTAAAATTTAGTATTTCAAAACAGGGTTTAAATCTATGGCATTTGAGGTTTTTAAAACTGACGCTAATTCTGAAAATATATTCAAATTCATGCACATGTCAGTGCCGATGGAGTGCTCTCTTGACCAATAAGTTCTTACGTTTCTGAGATTTTCACTCGTGTTTTTTTTCATACTTTAACGTAGGAACGGATCTCTCGTAGTAGAATTTAGGCTTATTTACCGGAGAGATCCAGATACTAATAAGAAAGTTGTGGTTGGCGAAACATTGAAAAAGAAAATTCTTGATGAAGGGAAACTTGGAGAGTACAGAATTATTAAAGACAAAATATTATACAAGGTAAATTTAAGGAAGTTTTTAACATCTATGTCTTTTATTGCATGCACAGAATGTAAAGAGATCTTGAAGTAGGTAGTTCTTATACACTTTTGTATGACGAACGGAAGTGTGTAACTAATTTAGTTACAAACGTCTGCCCGTAATAACAATGAATAACAATGCCGTCTCGAGAAACTTCGAAATTTTACTTGGTTTAGTATACCATTTTCGGAAATTCTCTTTTTGCTTCCTAAATCAAAAGTTGGTCTATTATGGAAAGGTCAATGAGAGAATAAGATTTAAAAAAATTAGAATTAAGACCTTCGGAACGACGATTGCACGGAATAGTTTAATTCGTAATTGGAATCATGCATCTATTTCTTATTTATTAAAACAAATAAATTTTGCGGGCTTATCTTTCTTGCATTCTTTACAGAACCACCTCCTCCACCAAAGAGTCTTAATCATTCCAAGGTCACCGAGGACAGAATTGACATTCGTTGGGAAAAACCTGCAGCGAACGACTTTTTCAAAATATTTGGTTACATAGTAAGCCACAAAGAAAAGTCTCAATTAAAATACAAGACGCAGAATATGTCATCAGATGCATCTAATGTTGTATTACGTGAATTGAAAAGTGATACATTTTACGACATCACAGTCCATGGATATAATAAAGAGGGCAGTGGAGACAAAATAGAAATTTCAGTAAAGACAAAAGAAGAGGATTCGTGTAAGTGTCGTTGCCTATGTATAGTATTGCCGAGTTATTTTCAAACCCAAAACTCTCTGGGCAAGGGATTGTAGATAATCGTTTTTCCCCTTACCAAATGCAGTTTATGCTTAACTGTGTTGTGGAGACTGACTGCAAGAGATTTTTTTGCAAGAACGCCTGAGCCACGTAGACAGAGGAGGACTGAGTTAGCTCCCCACTGTCCTCTTCTGACGGGATTAAGGCCCATACCACAGAATACCAAACAGAAGTAGAACTCCTGTACTTTCTTCGTAAGTGTGATTCGTCATGATTCGTCACTTAGCAAGTGCATTTTTTTGAGGTAGTCCCCCCTGCCAATACTAAAAATGCGCCGATTTTAGACATTGACAGGGGGGTGACAGCCTCAAAAAAATGCACTTGCTAAGTGACGAATCATGACGAATCACACTTACGAAAAATAGTATAGAGTTCTACTTCTGTTAGGTATTCTGTGCCCATACTCTTTGCTACTTTATATAATTATATCGCCATACCATAGTATGTTCATTGAGTGGCCCTAATTTTTAATATAAAGCTATGTTGAAATCGTGATGGGCGTGCTCTTTGCATTAAAACTTACGTTAAAGATACATTCTCGTATGTATCCGCAAATATGTTCATGTGTGCATTATGTTTAAGCTTCCTCTCCTTGCTGTTACATATAGGTAAAATGAATGTATACCATTTCCTGACGCAATGTCCCCGCCGCTCTAAACTCCCCTTGCGGTGCCCCTACATGTTAGATTGATTAACGAAATGCATTCGAACTTCTCCTTTATAGCTAATGTTGTGGTGGTTATTATTATTGTTGTTATCGTTGTTGTGCTTCTTATCATCGTCGGCATTGTAGTTTTCTACAAAATAAGAAAAAGGACAAGAGAAAGGGTAATATATAGAAATTAAGGTATCCTTGTTTCTGTCTACGAGTAGAGGTAGTTTAATTTTTTTGAATGAGTTTCAATCGATTATTGTGATTTTTTTAACTTGACCTCGACAGTAATTTTTCAGTAGACTTTAGCCTTTCGACGTAAACGTGAATTCTATCATTAAGGATGTATATCCCAAGAAACTCCATTAAACAAAATAAGGTTGCCTGCAGCCGTAGATCAAACTCGGGTTATCTTAAACACTCCTTTAAGAAATAAATTCAAATTTGTAGAATCTATAAAAATCGTGCATTTTTTTAAACTTAAGTGTGAGAAATAATATCGCAAGTTTGAAACAAAATCACATTTAGGTTTTGCGTCGTCACAAAATAATGTAAAGAAAACCATCGACACAGACCCTGATTGGACAAAATTTGGTCAGTGTAAGCTCTAAAGAAAATTTGACCAACTAGTGCAAATAGTTTTTACTAATTTACATTTTCGAATCTCATTTCGTTGTAGCATCTGGAGCAACCAATGGGTATGGGTAAAATGCGTTAGCCAAACGAACAAGTCCAGGCGAGGTAACCCTCATATTTGAAATGAAGAAAATGAAAAAATTGTTATAGTTATTATTTTATTAACTTGGCTTGATGACTGGAATATAAACTTGTGCACATATCAGTAAACTCATTTCATTATAGCTGCTTAGTCTTTTTTGTCTTTTCGAATGGAATCATATATGAAATTATTATATAAATATTTAAGGATATTATTGCATGCGATAAAAAATCTTAAGATTTTAAAATGTTTTAGTATAAGGAATATTTTGCGTTCATAAAATGACAACCAGCAGTTGTAAAATAATATGATAGCATTTAGGCATATTCAGGCTTGTTTCAAATTTTATGATGTGCCACTAAAGAGATAAGACGCCGAAGTCAACGTTCTTCCCTCTAAAAGCGAGCCCCACTTTAATAAAGAGAGCATAATATAAATCCAACAATTTAAATAAATTACATTCGTCATCTCAAAAGCATGAAATTCAAATCATAGAAACACCGCATAAGATCATTCATGCCCATAGCCGATAGCGACGTTTAAAACAGCTCTAAACAGCAGTAGCGGCACGACTTTTGATGATGCAGATGCAAAACTATTTCAGTGCCCATATTAAGAAACAATCAATTTTTAAAGAAATAGTGATAGTGATTAAAACTTGCATTTTGCCTGATTATCGTCCGTTCAAGATCGATGTAAAATTACTTTTATTTTTAGCTCTATTGCATCACCTAGTGCCTGTACGCGAGTAATTGTTTTTAGTTCATGTCAACAACACTATGTATATACAATTTAACATGAAAAAATCACTTTTCAGTTTTAATTTGCCTTATTGAATTTTGTTGTCATTTGATATCAGTTTTTGGTAATATTGGTATTTTGACTTCAGGGTGTGGTTTAGTACAGGTGATTAGGCCAGTAAACATAGCCTATAATATTAGTAATGCATGTTTACAACACGAGCGGCCGTGATATACAATCACCGTAATATACAATCACGAGCGTTTTGTAATAATAAAAGAGTAATGGTTGTATTTTCCCGAAACAACCACTAGTGTTAGTAACTGATTAGCAATATTATTCAAATTATTTTGAATGGGGTATACAGGGTGTGCATTCGACCAAATTCACTAAATTTCACATTAATGTCGTTTTTAAAACATTTCAAAATTCTACTATACTCGTACTACTAATTACAAATTGTAGTTAACCTTGAGGTGGAGAGTTAAGCGGTTTAAACAGTTTCCTAAATATAAAACAAACTAAAACTTGCATGCTTAAAAAATAAGCCATAACTGTTGTATCAGAAACTATGTATATAATTATCAAAACTTAATGCATACGATATGTTTGTGTTTTTATTTGTGTTTCCAGGCCCAAACGGTCTCGAGAACTGTCAATTTAGGATACAAATTTGATCTAATATTTACCCCTACACGGATCATTTGAACAGTTCTAAACGATAAACAAGACAAAAACCCCGAAAAAGACGCCTGTGTGAACATACACAGAAATTTCCGGGTGTATAAAAAAAATTCGAATCTAAATTTTGCGTGTAATAATGCAAAATATATTTGACAAATTTGGTTGATTCTTACACCATTGTTAAGTTCATTTATTTCTCTTTCAAATGACATGTTGTACGTGTCATTTAGTTGAAAAATGAAGGAGTACTGGTTCGACAAAAAAAATTCATAAACATCACAATTTTCCGCCGATGGAAATTGGACGTTTGTTTTATTGAAAATTAGTCCTAAAGGGCTTTAAAATCTAATTATTACTGAAAACTAAAATGCAAATCTATCGCAAAAATTCATCTTATTCAATGTTCAACGATAGCTTTGAAGAACACAGTGCCTCAATTAAGCACAGAACAACGAACATTTATTGTAAAAACATTTTATGATACTTGTTCGACGAGCAGATCAAGGCATCCTTCGACGCTATCAAGATATATAATCAGTGGATATCAGATATATAATTAGTTTTTAATTTGACGATGATTTTTTTGACAAATAAAAATCGTTTTAAAACCGTTTAATCACCCCCACCACGCTGCTTAAAATATTAAAATACTTCCACTGACTGGTCCTTCAATTCGGCTGGTTCGAAGTAGCAATATTGAAATCAAATATGGCAACTGAATTATCGTTACGATTTACTCACGATCGTAAATTTTGAGAGGTGTTTGGGGGAGGCACACCCTCCGCCAGCGATCTCAACCAGCAGTCGGTCTCAACATCCTCTCCAATAGACCTTTTCAGCTTGTATGCAAATTAACCCCTTTCACCTCACATGGTCTAAAATGGTTAAGTTTTTAATGCAAGCGTAAAAGGTCTATTGCAAAAAATTAGACACATGAATACATAGTTATACATAGTATCAGCGTCCACGATCTGAATATTTTTGTGCAACCATTTGAGACTACCTCCCCTCCTCCCTAGCAAAAATTTATATTTACATTCATGGTCAGTGGCATACGGGACACGATAATTGGGAGCGCACGTATTCATATATTCATGTTGTGCAAGATTAATTTCTGTTCAAATCCATTGTCTTTACAGGTCTGTTAATATGTGCCCCCCCCCTCAATTATATTGTCCCGTACGCCACTCTCCCTGGTTCACACATATCGAATATCACGTTGTATATAATAGCAGTGCTTTTCAGCAATAGCTTTAATTTTCGTTACATAACATATACTTGTCCGGCTGAATACAAACAAAAGCAAATTTGAATTATTATTCCTCGGCGGTGAAAGATTATGTGGTTGTCAGCCAGCAATTTTAAAGCAAGAACATTTGGTCATTGCCATCTTTCACGACAGGAAAAAGGTATTAGAATAAAGCTAAATAACCGCCCTTTCTTTCTATGTAAAAACTACATCATTACACCCAATTTACACTGCATCATCCAGTATGTTATTGTCAGTCATGCATTTATGTTATGTTATCATCCGGCATGTTATCGTCGTGCATTTTGAAACGCTCTATGCATTATATATGTTCAGTGTTACCAAGGTATACTTCATATAGGCATTCCCTCAGGATCTTTGTTTTCGCTCTTCAAAGGGTGGTTATAAGGCTCTAATCCAAATAAACTTTTAGCTCCCTTTATGATATCACAGCTAATGTTATAGTAACAAAACGTTTGCAAAATTCCCCCAACTTTTGTGTTAACTTTAATAACAGGATATGTTGCAGAATGCATATTTCCGCCCGATCTATTGGGCCCTACATCAAGGCTGGTAGATTGACAAATTAAGAAAGCAGAATTAATCAGTTCTTTTACACTTGTGCTCTTAACAACAATAGTGATGATTGACTCTGCGGTAACATTTATTCCCTGTTCTTTGGTGATCATGATACTGCACATATTTGTATGTAATTGTAACTTCGAGATCGAGAATACAAACTCCGCATCAGGGGCCAGTTGTATCAAGCCCGTTTAGCTTCAACGGTGGCTAAGTTAAGTATAGAAAACAAATGTATCGTTTTATTGAAGAAGCAAAGTAAATATTTTTAACCTTAATTAATACAAAGATATACTGTTTACAACTACATATTCAGTGCATAATATTGAAGTTTACTTAAATTTTACTTATCCACCTTTTGTGTTAAACGGGCTTGATTAAATCACGAATAAATATAGCATTAAATGTTGTATAGTATGGTTATCATTATCATACTAACTCTCCTGACGAAGGCCCTCAGTTCGAAACGCTAGAAGTTTTTTTGTCTATTTTAGACAGTTGTTATACCACATTTGATGCTAAGTTGTTTGAAGACGCTGCCACGCTGCTCCCTGCATGTTTATATTGATTAAATATTGTTGACTAAATAAATATTGTATTCTACTATTCCTTCAACCATTACGCCGCAAAGCAATCACTCACGATACGAGTTTCTTTATAGGTTCGTGTGGGTATTTAAAAATCTCTGGCATTCTTCTAGAATATATAATGAATAGGTTTAATATAGGGAATAATTACAGTGAACAATATAATATACGCACTGTAAGACGTTATTATAGATAACTCTCACGGTCGCATCTAAATTCATGCATTAATTAACTAACCAATCTTATTAAAATATTATATATGATCTTCTAGCTATAATATTGGTCCTTCGGTTTATGAGAAGATGAAAGTGCATATTTATTTCAATCTATTTTAAAACTTATAAATGTTTATTTTCAGATATATTATGTGCTGGAAAGCATGTTGATAAAATTAATCGTCTCAGAGCTCGTGCATTCGACTCCTGCTGTTGGTTATAGGTTCTTTAAAGGTAATTTTATGCAAAAATTTGAAACATCATAATAACACAAATAAACGCTGACAGACAACTTCCCATGTTTACATTTTTCACTAGCAATGCATTTTAGACGGCATTTTGATTAGTTGAGCGATAATTCAAGATGTACCCTTCATTACTTTCTGTTATCTCAAGGGTAAGTTGCTAAGTAATTTGTTATTTGATGACATTTTAATTTCAGATCTAACCAAATTATATACAGTTTAAGTTCCGCCTCCATATTTGTGGGTATACAGCGATTAGGGATTACTGATCGCTTTAGGTATTTTGGCACAAGCCCATATTTATAAGACGACTTAAAAAATGTGTCCATGTTTAATTTAGTGCCATACCGGTGATCTATTATCCCAATAATGCGAGCTTATCAGTATTAGCTGCAATGCTTATACTGCAGTCGTTGTGTTTTAACATAGCTAATATTCATTCAAGAGACTGTGACATCTGCAATACAGCTATTTTATTTTGACAACGAATGCTAAAATTCCAGAAAGATAGCATGCAGTTTAATACAGTAATGTAGGTAGCTTTAAATGGCTTAGCTGGCCAGTTAAGGAGTCGCCGGCAGTTTAAATGCCATAATCATGTTCATACATGCACGTTTTAACATACGTCTCATGCATATGCATGTTAGTCCAACCGCAGACAATCCAAAAGATATCTTTTGGAATGTCTATGGTCTAACATAGTGGCAAATGTAATTGTCCATCATATGATATCAAATATTGGTATTACTGCACTAATTAACATCTAATTTTTTTTGAATTCGTTCGAGAAATTGGGAAATAAGATTTTTGAAGGATAACACATCAACAGTATGTTTTGACAGCAAATATAATCAAATGCCAAATGTGTGTATTTTTGAGAATGCATTCCATAATCATATTGCATATTTTTATTCGGCATGGGAGTCCCCGAATTTTCGCTTGTAGCTCTACGGTTCCACCTTTTCTTGCCCTGACAATACTTTAAAATTAATGACACATGACCCACGTGCAACGTGCATGTATGTAATGTTTTAGTTAAAAACACATGAATTTAATGATGTGCCAAAATGTACTGGATCTACTGTAAAACACTTCAAAATATTTTTGTAATTTTCTTCTGACATTTAAAGGACTATTATGGAAACGAATGATGACACCACAATCTTGTATATTAGTCGTAAAATGCCTATTTCAAAATGTGACGTATGTACGCGTGTTTATATACATACATACGCGGATACGCCAGGGTAAGAATCGTATACAACAAATCACACAGTGTAAATGGACCTTAAAAGTACTTTTGCACGTCCGTTGTTGATAAAAGAGATTTTAAGAGGCATCTCTGTCTAGACTTTTCAAAAATTGACAAACATCTGAATTTTTTTTAAAATAGCTATATATGTTTAATTTTGACATTTTTAAAACTATTGACCAATTTTTTTCTTCAAATCTCATTATTTCTTACTCAAATATCTATTATTCAAAAGTTTGCACTTTTTAACAATCTTAAGAAATTAGAGATTTAAAATTAGAATTTAGTAAAGTGTGTCAGAATTTTGGCTATTATATTGATGAAACTTATAAAGTTGATTTAATAATGTCGTTTTAGATGACAATCGTCTCAATAACGATGTTTGCCGTTCTTTCAATCTGGACCAACGTGCAAGCAGGTGTGACAAATATTTATTTATCACAGAATCCGTCAAATAAATATAATGCGTAGTGATAGATCCGGAAGTGAAGTGAAGACAAATAACTTTTAAAGGCTTTTGGTGATGGATTTCTAAATAGTATTTTTTAAATAGAACTTTCCAATGTAAGTATATAAATGCTTATAAACTCAGTCTTTTTTTTATAGGTAGCATCAAATGTGGCAACTTTTCTTGCAATGCGGACGCGATTTGTCAAAACACAAACCGGAGTTACATTTGCATCTGCAATTCTGGGTACAGTGGAAACGGGACGCACTGTAAAGGTATGTAAGCACTTAGAGAGATTCAACATGTATAAGACACAACTCAGTCATCGATCATTAAATTTCGTATTGTATAAAGGTGTAATCGTCTTCAATTTCGGTTTCAATAAGACAAATGAGTCACCGTATTACGTGTATATTTTGTAATAAAACATGAGCAATAATTTGCAATGATTTCATATTTCTTTTATATGCATAAGATATTGACGAATGTTCAGGCAGACCTTGTCACAAAAATGCTACATGTGCAAATACAATTGGCTCATTTAATTGCACCTGCAAAGAAGGACTTCGTGGCGATGGCTTTAATTGTGGAGGTAAAGACTTTTAGGCCTAGTTTAAAACAAAAGCGGATTTAATATATAAATTGTGTTGAAAACTTGTATTTTATTATTAAAATATTCCTATATAACATTCCACGAGAAATTTGTATTCGGTATTCAAAGAAAATCTGAAATGAATTCAGGTTTTCCACATGCAATGAAAGGAAATTTCCTTGTGGAATATATAACTATATCTTAATTTATGCATCGTATTCGCGATTTACTACGTCACTGTCACTGAATTCACAGCGCGAGATTGAAAACAGTCAAAGTACGGTAATACAATGCAAATTTATTCAAAATTAGTGTAATAAATCTATTTTAATATTTGTACTGCTTTATTGGGATTCCTATGGTGATAGATCCGGAAGTGAAGTGAAGACATGCAAATAACTTCATTTTTAAAAGGCTTTTGGTGGTGGATTTCTAAATAGTGTTTTTATATAAAACTTTCCAATGTAAGTATATAAAGGCTGATGTACTGAGTCCTTTTTCTAGATAGCATCAAATGTGGCAACTTTTCTTGCAATGCGGACGCGATTTGTCAAAACACAAACGGGAGTTACATTTGCATCTGCAATTCTGGGTACAGTGGAAACGGGACGCACTGTAAAGGTATGTTAGCATTAGGAGAGATTCAATATGTATAAGACACAACTCAGTCATCGATCATTAAATTTCTTATTTGTATAAAAGTGTTGATCGTCATCAATTTCGGTTTCATTTTCGGTTTCACCGTATTATGTGTAATTTGTTTATTAGAATTTGCATGCTGACTATACAAATAACATTGACAACATTAAGTATGAACAAGGTGGAATTTCGTTTTAAACTAATGGCCATAATTGCTTGCATTTTCGGCAAAGCCAATCCAGAAGGGTAGTGTCGCAGCTCCTCGCAAGAATGATTTTTATTGGCTGAACTTTACAATACATTTCTGTTTCAACCAATAGCATAGTTTCGTTCTTTAGAAAGCATAGAAAAGCATTATCCAATTGGACGAAAGCTTCCAATCACTGCGACATGTCCGAATCAGAATGTCTAGGTTTTTAATAGTGGGATTATGGTCAAAATTTATGCATTCCGATTGGGTTATATACCGAAAATGTAAACAAACTTGCTGATTTGTGTAAAGCGAAAACCTCTTTTTCATGGCATGGCATTTATCTTCCAAGACGGAGAAGAGGGGGCAAAATTTTTACCAGGTAGTTTACATAGTCAGTGTAAACTCTCTTTGCAATGCAATTGACGAAGCATTAGTTGCAATTAATACTGAACTATATCAAAAATTTCATGATGAGGTAATGACCGCTGGAAATCTGCCTTATCTAAAAGATACTGATAGTCAGTCTTCTTTCTCTCAACTGCATGTCAACTTTAAGTTTTTGTACATGTAAACGGATCAGATTATAACTGCTCTTGTCACGAAAATGCAATTTGTAAAGATAGAAAAGGGAGTTTTACCTGCAGATGTGAAGATTGACACAGTGGAACTGCATGGAATAAACTGCACTTGTGTGCATGTATGGAATTCAACGATTCGTTTAGTGTTTCCTTAGCAGATAATTGTAGTATTAGTCAAGTTTACGTTTTGCATACTTTTATACGTATCTCATTGTAAAAGTTGGAAGACGTGTTATTTTAGAGTTTTCTTCCCACTTGAAAAGTAGATCGGCTCGGGGATTTAGTCCATGTGCACGCGGGATGACGTTTTCGAGCATTTTCATGTTCGTTTTCATGCCAAAACAGTTTTAAACACCGTCAATTTACAATCGAAGTTGAAGCTGATTTAACATATTGAGCATAATCTTCGATCCTTGCATCGTGTGGACAGGGCGTCATAGCGATAAACCAGATAAAAACAATTTTTGAAACGCTCGTGTGCACGACGCTCGTATGCACATAGCCTAAATTTCGCAATTTTTGCACATCTGGCACAGTAATAAAGCACACGGTCACTGGAGGTATTTTTGTACTAAAACATGAGGAATAATTTGCACCGATTTCATATTCTTTTATATGCATAAGATATTGACGAATGTTCAGGCGGACCTTGTCACAAAAATGCTACATGTGCAAATACAATTGGCTCATTTAATTGCACCTGCAAAGAAGGACTTCGTGGCGATGGCTTTAATTGTGGAGGTAAGATTGACTTTTAGGCCTAGCTTAAAACAACAGCGGATTAAGTATATAAATTGTGTTGAAAACTTGTATTTTATAAATAAAATAATGTTCCTATATAACATTCCACGAGAAATTTGTATTCGGTATTCGAAGAAAATCTGAAATGATCAGGGTTTCCACAATGAAAGGAAATTTCCTTGTGGAATATATAACTCTTATGCATCGTATTCCCGATTTACTATACGTCACTGAATTCACAGCGCAAGATTGAAAACAGTCAAAACAGGGCAATACAATGCAAATTTATTCAAAATTAGTGTAATAAATCTATTTTAATATTTGTACGGCTATTTATTTGGATTCCTATGGTGATAGATCCGGAAGTGAGGTGAAGACATGCAAATAACTTCATTTTTAAAAGGCTTTTGGTGGTGGATTTCTAAATAGTGTTTTTTATATAAAACTTTCCAATGTAAGTATATAAAAGCTGATGTACTGAGTCCTTTTTCTAGATAGCATCAAATGTGGCATATTTTCTTGCAATGCGGATGCGATTTGTCAAAACACAAACGGGTGTTACATTTGCATCTGCAATTCTGGGTACAGTGGAAACGGGACGCACTGTAAAGGTATGTAAGCACTAGGAGAGATTCAATATGTGTAAGACACAACTAAGTCATCAATCATTAAATTTTTTATTTGTATAAAGGTGTAATCGTCATCAATTTCGGTTTCAATAAGACAAATGAGTCACCGTATTACGTGTAATTTTTTCTAAGCATTTGCATGCTGACTATACAAATCACTTTGACAACTTTAAGCATGAACAAGGTGGAATTTCCTTTTAAACTAATCGCCACAATTGTTTACATTTTTCGGCAAAGCCAATCAGAATGCCTAAGTTTTTAATGGTGGAATTATAGTTAAAATTTATGCATTCCAATTGGATATAAACTGAGAATGTAAACAAACTTGCTGATTTGTATAAAGCGAAAATCTCTTTTTTATACATCTGGCACAGTCATATAGCACACCGTCACTGGAGGTATTTTTGTACTAAAACATGAGCAATAATTTGCAACGATTTTTCTTTTATATGCATAAGATATTGACGAATGTTCAGGCGGACCTTGTCATGAAAATGCCACATGTGCAAATACAATTGGCTCATTTAATTGCACCTGCAAAGAAGGACTTCGTGGCGATGGCTTTAATTGTGGAGGTAAAGATTGACTTTTAGGCCTAGTCCGTTTGTCAAAAGTCCGTTCTGCGCATATATTCTGCGCATAACAATGTTTGTTTACGTTGGTTATATAATCTTTACATGACGTATGCGTCGTTTTCTTATTTTCTTCTCGCTCAACGGCTGTAATCTGTGATGAATATGCTTATTTTATATTATATTTAGAAGAAAATAGTATTATATTTTGAAGAAAATATAAAGCGAAGCTTGTAAATAAACCGGCCGTTATTTAAAACTTCATATATTTGTAATTGTAGGACAAGCGAGAAGGTAGCGTCTGTAGCGACGACAAATAGCCTCGCCATCTCGTGTCTTCATTCAACAAATAAACTCTTGGAGCATTCCTTTCAGCATAATATTGCTTTTTTCTAGCAGCCTTTTGATAAGATAATTTATCATCGTCACTTGCAACTCGAGCCTCTTCGCCTTGCGACATAAAATAAAATAATTGTACGCCCGAACTGCCGTTTGTAATACAACGGGCTAATATCGCATATCATTAACATTCCAAAAGTTGCTTCCCCACTAATGGAATGTGTTGCTGCGCGGAATATATGCGTAGAACGGACTTTACCTCATCTTTAAATTGTGTTGAAAATTTGTATTTTATAATTAAAATATTCCTATACAACATTCCACGAGAAATTTGTATTCGGTATTCAAAGAAAATTTGAAATGATCAGGGTTTTTTACAATGAAAGGAAATTTCCTTGCAATTGTCAATAATGAGGGGGAGGGATCTGTGTTAATAGAATATATTATGTGCATCCTTTTGAAAAGAAGACAGTCGTGGCAACTTTGGAATGAAGACAGTTATATGCAAATCATATGTGGAAACTCTGGAAAATAATCTAATCAAGCACTAGTGATTTATTTTATAATTTTTTATTTTGTTGTATTTTGAAATTTTTAGTCCCAATGGCAGGATTTGAAGATGATGACGATGATGACGATGAACTAAGTAGGTTTCTTGAACTTGGAATTAAAATGAAACCATTGAATAGATATTATAAGCAGTGACGGATTAACTGACATATATGCAATTACATGCAGATTGGCAGTACAGTAATTTATATAAATTCATTTATAAAAATGTTATAAATGGTTTTGGAAAAACCAGGGACAGGCTCTTTAATAAGCGAATAGCGATATCCATTGACTTTTCAAGCTTTAAAAAGTTTTAACTCAAAAAACAGGACTCAGTTTTGCCAAATAACCCTTTGATGAATATGATAAAGAGCCTCGTTGATCGTAACAACTTAATAAGAAGACTGATAGTGCAATCAGATTTATAATTAATAGCAAAGAACAGAGATGAATACGTGAAAAACAGCTGAATTTTATAAAACGCCATTTATCGCCTTTTCAGTACTGCTAAAAAAGATCATCTTCACATTCTTAGAATACATGTGTTTATGTTTCAAACCTTTTGTTAATGGCAAATCTTTTTCAGAAACCTTGACTTTCAATTTTATATTTATTCAGGTTATGGTTATGTAGCCCTTATTGTTGTTATTCTCTCATTCTCAATTGTCATCTGCGTTTTTGCGCTGTTAGTCTATCAACAAAAAAGAGAGAAGGTTGGTTTAAGGAAATGAAAGTTTAGTCGACCTTTAAAAAACAGTTAAGACTAGAGAAAGAACCGAGGTTCCTACTGACACTGCAGCAAGCATAACTTCTCTTTTTTTTCACTCTTATTCTTTTATTAGCTGTCACCTCGATTTTTTCAAATTTATATTTTTGTTGCGGCCAGGTTGATGTCAAATCGGGAATTGCAAACCAATTTTTTTTGTTTAAGTTGCACAAAATTCCCGATTTGACGTCTTATCCGGTAACTTTAAAGGCTAATAAATCCACCAAGACAAAGTTTTTCAATAACAAAATGCGATTACAAAGTTTTTGAAAATACTTTGACCTTTTGATATTCAAAATCCCCATCCAAGCTATAGGCATTTTAATCAAAGTTTTATGCAAAGAAAATGAAATTTTAACTGGCGCAACATGAGCAAATTTCTTAGCTTTCGTGTACATGGCTTAATTGTAGTCCCTTATATACAACAAGTGTGTAAGAGTAATCAGATAATTTTATTGCAGGCAAAAGCAGTAAAAGAAAAACAGGTCGCGGCTTCTTTAAGAACTTCACTGGAAATGGAAACTAAAGATGGCCAAGTCGAAAACAGTGGGTACAACTATAATGACGACAGGGAAGATGTGAAAAACGCCTGAGCTATATATGTTCTGGCAAATAGAACCACGTCTGGTGTTGCAAGTCCTGTCGCAAACTTTGTTTCAAACGTGACGCTCCTTAGGAAGGCCATCAGGTCAAAACAAATTTTTTATCTATTTTAGGCAACCTCATAAGGCAGGCTTTTCTACCTACGCCCCATGGCTAACACTGCGGCGAAAGCCCTGGTTCATGCTGGTCATGTGACAGCGCAAAATCTCCCAGATTATGCGAGATTTTTAAGTAGCGCTAAGTTCAACGCTATAATAGAGGGGTGGCAAAATTAACATGCCACTTCCGCCATTTTTAACATTTATGACAGTCCAGGTGGTTTTGCACTGCCGCTAAGCAATAAATACTAAAAATAGCAGTTCAGTCCATGCTGGAACACGCTGTTTTAACCGTATATGATTTATGCGCTGCATTGTATTCCACCCATTTCCGTGCGGGAAAGACGTGCCAAAAGAATCACGTGACCAGCATGGACCAGGTTTTCGCCGCAGCGTGCCTGTGGAGCGTAGGTAGATAAGCCTGGGTTGCAAGGTTGCATTTTGAGCATACCACATTTGATGCGGAGTGATTTGTCGGCTACACGTTGCATCCTGGTATTCGAATTTTTTGTATGCAGAATTCTATTTAATATTATTTTTATTTTTTTTATGATAATAATACACTAAAACATCTCGCTATATTACCAAAAAATAACGGCTGAGACAGCATTTGCCTAATTTAAATTCAGAAAATAATTTCTTAACATCGAAATGCAGCCATTACACATCAAGAGTTTGACGTTTGAAACAGGCTTATACAGCTGATTCAATTAAGTTTGTGACAGGCAATAGCCCAATGTATATTCCACGCGCAAGAGGCATGAAGGGATTGATGGTATTTTATGCATAATTATGCAACGAATGAAGTTATTATTGGAAAAGCATTGTTGAATGTAAATATAATCATCTGGTGGGAACAGTGTGAGGATGAACCTAAGGCTGTTATTATACTGTATAGCGGTAATGTGGAATACACGTTGTTTTGTATTATAGAAATAACCGAAATGAATCAGCATCGATTGCTGGTGCAAGTTCCTCTTTAAACTGCTTGAACAGGAACTCACGTAGCGCTTTCACATCGTTAAAAATGTCGACGTTTTGACATGTATATGTGTCATTCTGCCTTTTATTACCTTGCCGTGTATCTTTTAACATGATATTAACGCTTTCTTCCTCGTAATTTTCCATTACTTTGGAACCGAATATCCACCAAATGCACCATTTATTAATCTAACTGTTTGCTCGCCTGCAAAGTGCAACCACAAACTATTGTGATAAATGCACATGTTCCCTTGGGAATTGCAAAATGACCGCATTTTTCATGTGTCTTTTGTACTCTGTTGTTCGCATAGTGTCATTGTTTGGTCGAATGATAACATAATAAAATAATTAGTGTCCATTAACGACACCATTCAAAATATGTCGATGCATTAGTTAGTCAAATGCACTGGACCCATGACACTGTTCGCGCTTACAATTTACATTTGCCTATTGCCTGTCACAAACTTAATTGAATCAGCTGTATATAAAATGAGAACTATATTTGTAATGAGGGATTATCGCTAGCAGAATTATTACTCTCTTCCATCTGGCTGACGTCTCTTAGCATGAAGGTAGACAAAAAATGACTGGTACTAAATTCATATTTTAGCGTTGGCTCTTTGCTTTTAATCTCGCGCGGTCCGTAGCCAATCAGATTGCAGGAAACGCTAAAATATGAATTCGGACCGGAAGAAAAAAAATAAAGCTACTTATGAAATCAGCGATGAAATATATGCATCGAGTTGATTCAGCTGATCATTTGGAGCGTGGAAGTCAAAATGACAAAACCCCCTGATTTTTGTCAATGAAAACGGGCTTTTATAAAATAATTTATTTTACATATGTAAATTACCATTCGCGCAACATTGACTGAAATAAAACCAATAGCAGGTCTAGGTAAAATGCAATGCTGATTTCGCGCATTAAATGGTATTTGTAGTAGCTATGCTATAAAACAATTATCACGCTCGCTCTCGTTAAATAGCTCGCTTACAGCACATATAAAAAATATACAACTCAAGCTTATGGTATAATTGTTAAAAATCGTATTTCGTGAGCCTTACTGGTCATCTTTGCCAAAGGATATTCACCAAATTGAAAAATTAACAGTTCTCGTCATAATAATAAGGCTTAATTTCATCCTCTTGTTTAAATTGTGTTAAAAAATCTGTATATTTGAATTTGCCTCCTACACGAATACAAACTACGACGTGTTGACGTGCTTGCAAGAACTGTGACGTAATGATACAATAATAGTAAAGGAACAACACACAAAACAACCTCCGTCGCAGGGCACCTTCAGCGAAATAATATTAGTGAAGTTAATGAAGTGAAATAGAGCTGCATGGCCTTAATTGATAGTATTAAGATAGTTGTTTGTGCATGTGTGCATGTTGTTGTTTGTGCATATATTATCATGCATGTATATATATATATATATATATATATATATATATATATATATAATATATATATATATTATATATATATATATAATATGCATGTGTGTTGTTCTTCGCTTCCCTGTTATATATTATGTACTATATATCCTTTATACATTAATCCCTATTGCATATCACAAATAAAACATTACACCAATAACTTGAAAGATTAGTTTTGTAACGGTGTATCAGTTTTAATTCCATGACAGCTTGGAAGGTGATTATGCACATGTATATAGAAATTAAAAGGACGATATAAAAGACACTAAGAAACTGGATTGAACGTGTGTGTATCTCGTCTAATCCAGCAGTCTGTTCACATGGAGCGAGTTATGTGAAGACTAATCAGGTTAAGCCTTTGGTGTTATTTTACCTCGTTTAGCTGGGACAACTCGCTCCATGAAAACAGGTCCGTAATGAAGTTGGAAATTACTTATATCATTAGTATTATTGATTTGTCTTAATAGTCAAAAGATTTATTTGTATAGCGTTATTTAAAAGTTGTATGCGAGGCTTTGATATTCAAACAACACGCAATAGCCTACTTAGTATGAAGTCATTTTACCTATAAGACGATCTTTCGAGAACAAACTTTTACAAAGAAATTCTTATTCAAATTCCTTGTTTCTTCAAGAATTCTTAAATTCCGTGTAATTATTGCAAGATTGAATTTAAGTGCTTAGCGGAGACTTCAAATTATTCTGAAATTGTCATGTGCAACGCGTGTACACTGAGTCACTGATCAGATGATATAGCAAATAGTTTGCTGAATCTTTCGTTCATTAGGTAGAAGAGTATCTTTAATGTATTCCCATTAGTTTATATCTCCTATATTGACGTTTTTGATGTATTAATATTAAGGAGCATATCTCACCGGTTTCATTTAAATAGGGCACGCAGAACACACTTAAGTGTTTATGCGGAGCTGAAGCACAGCCACCCACAAGATTATATCTTTGTTAAAGAGCAATTTGATGAGAATAATAGTTAAAGCGTCATCACTTTAACACCTGCTGTTTAACTTGTTCCTTGTAGAAGAAAATTATGCAGATATGCAGCCCCAGTAGGCAACATAATACGAAGATCGCTATCGTGAAACTTTGCATGTTTGCATGTTAGACACAGTAATATAGTATTTTATTTAGGATTGGAGGATTTTGATTACTTGGACAATATTTCACGATGTACTCTTCAAGACAATCAGTCAGGCTAAACGTAAGTGGGCAGGTGATAATTTTTACTGTGTTCAATGCCATTTTAATTTGGATTCTTCAAGCGAGGAAGCTTATATTTATAATCTTTGCATGCAAATCACTTTTAGGGATGTTATAATGAAATATTATTTTGTCTGAAGAGCATCAACATGCAATAATGTTAAATTTATTTGGCAGGCGAACTGTGCATATAGATTTTGGTAGCTACTAATTCGATCCTTTCCTGAAATATCTCATTTGCGTCGGCAAATCTGCTGGACTTTACGATGCACGGCACGAAATTAATAATATATTTTGCCTCAGCGTTTAAAGTATTATATAATTATGTAGCAGGTAAAACTTAAATTAAGCATGCCGTTGCAACTGACAAATGTATTTGTTCAATAATCTGAAAGACTGTTCAAATGTACGATCCAATTTTTGTAGTTTGTTATTGATAAAGCATTACGGCATTGGTTCAGTTGACTTGCTTCCCATATAGGCAACATTGCAAGTCAACAGAATATAAAACATCCATCACAAGTAACTAATTTGGATCCGACAAAATTGGATCGTGTGAACAGACCTTCATAAACTTGTAATCTACGTAGATGAAATATGTCCAGGAAATATATATATATATATATATATATATATATTATATATTATATATATATATATATATATATATATATATATATATATATATATATATAATAGGTAAACCCGCCAGTTTCCTGGACATGTTTCATCTACGTAGATTACAAGTTTATGAAGGTCTGTTCACACGATCCAATTTTGTCGGATCCAAATTAGCTACTTGTGATGGATGTTTTATAGTCTGTTGACTTGCAATGTTGCCTATATGGACTTAACCAATGCTGTAATGCTTTATCAATAACAAACTACAACATTTATATATATATATATTATATTATATATTATATATATATAATATATATATATATATATATAATATATATAATATATAATATATATATATATATATATATATATATTATATTAATTATAATATTATTATATATATATATATATATATTATATAATATATATATATATATATATATATATATATATATATATATATATATTATATAATATATATATTTATATATATTATTTATTCGCAAATACTCCATGTTGTGTAATATGAATGTAATCCCATGTAAATGTGTTCATATGCAATTTTAATATATTATAATTTAGACACAGTTTGGTAACATTCAAATTAAAGTAAGTTCTATATCACAATATATAGTTAGGTTCATATTAAAAGGTGGATATTTCCGGTCATAACAAACGAACAGCTTTGAAACGTGTATTAAAATAAATTTTCCGCGAAGTTAAAAGTTGTTGTATAACAAGTTCGTTAAACAGATGAAAACCTTTTCGATGTTATCCTAGGGCTTTCCATCATTCTGGTAAGTTACCATATATGAAAAGAGGGTTAAAAAAAACACCAAAAAACATTTTTTTGTTTTTAGATACCGGTTTTAATCGCGTTGTTTGTCATTATGGTAAACGGGATCAATGTTCAAGCAGGTAAAGATTAGTTAATTTATGTAATAATTTATACAAACGCGGAATTCTGCATTCTGATCTATCCTGTCAGTTGTACATGCGCAGGCTATTATAAAATTTCTATGCAATTGTGTGTCAACACCCTTATGATCGTAGTTTGATTTCTTCCCGATGAGCTTTTCTACTCAACCTAGAACTTTTTTGCGTTTCTTACAAGGCGATTCATTTCTAGGATTATCACTAGTCAAACATACATTAAGGCCTGATTCACACTAGCTCCGAAGAATATCAGGGGGCGCTTTACCTCCCCAAGTTTTTCTGTATCAGGTCCTAAGGATTTGGGAGTCCCATTGTCTGAGGTCACTGGTGCGCAAAATGATTTTTCGATTCAGGATTCCCGATTTCCTCATTAGTCTTTCATCATAAATTATGCAGTTTTCGCCTCGCCTAGCCAGGATATTAACTCGCTCCATGTAAGCAAGTTCTTAGAATAAGGGTGCACACGTTACCCGGCTAAACCACGTTCGCTCTTGTCATCTATCCTTATAGACTAAGGGTTAAAATATTTAACGCGAAAGCGTATTTTATAATTCTTTCAGTGCAGAAAATCAAACATAATTACTTACTTCAGTAAATATGAGATTTGTTTGATTTTCACTAGACCTTTTTCGTATATATGAGTTTCTCCAAAAAATGTAGGCCATATAAATTTATGCTACTTGCAAGGAAGCGAAAAAGATTTTCTAAACTGATTATTAACTCTGGTATTTCTTGTGCCAATTGTGCGAAATTCTGAAAAATATTTCCCCGCATGTGCATTCCTTGATATTCAAAATATTTTAAAATATACTTTTCTAAAGATCGAGGTGCCCTGCACATGAGAGGTTACTCCAGGTTACTCTCAATACCCATGCAGATATACCATTACATTCTCTCAATAGCGGCGCATTCCCTATGCGCATACATTCTGCTGTACAGCTATACTTTTTAACATGTGTTTTCTCAGATGCTAGCAAATGCAACAACAACAATACCTGTCACGAAGACGCCACTTGTAAAAACACAACTGGGAGTCTTGTTTGCACATGCAACCCGGGTTATAGCGGAAATGGGATACATTGTGATGGTATGTATAAAAGACGAGTATATGGAGGGTCCATTTTGGTGGTCAAAAAAGTAATCAAATTGGACAATATGCATCGAGTTCTAAGCAATGGAAAAATTTGAATGAGAAAGACTTTATCCGCAAATTAAGTTTAAATATTTTTTTCTTAAGTCATTCAGAACAATAAACAAATCTTATTGAAAATTTCTGGCTTTCATGGTATCTCATTTTTTTTCTTTTAACGTTACGTCTATACTATCTTTGTCCTGACTTTGCTACTTTAATCCATTCTTTTAAATACTCCGAAGCCGGCTGTATTTTGTTTTTAATTACGACTTAACTACGCAGAATGTATTTGGGAGTTTTACACAAGCGTCGTCTGGACGGTTAATACGTGCTAATGGTTAACTAAATAATTAACAGATTTTCCAAATTGACGAATTAATATATTTGGTAGATATCAACGAATGCGATGCCAGCCCTTGCCATTTTGACGCCGATTGTCAAAACACGAACGGAAGTTATAACTGTACATGTAAACTTGGATACAACGGAAATGGAAAATTTTGCAGTGGTATGTGAAGAATTCATAGATTTAATTAGTTACACGTTGAAATGGGTCATAAACTTTGAAACAGAAATATCGGTAGTAATTTTAAGGTTGTGGATATCTGTGTATGATAATGTATATTCCATGCTATACTTTGTTCTCGTGACTACGGAGAGCAGGGATGTGAATGAAGGTTTATAGGCAAATGGGGTGTATATTCCTTAGATTCCAGGAATATTAGCATAGCCGGACAAAACCGCAGGCTGGCTACGCTACTGGATGGAAAAATATTTTTTGAGAGCAGATACCGAGTTCAAGATACTATACTGCTTTGTTTAAAATTTCATAATTATGCGAAATGAATATATTTGACATTCCTAGACCAAATCGTTTGTGAACCGACTGTTAAGTGCCATACTTATGCAACGTGTGCTAAATCTGGTGGTAAGGACGTCTGTGTATGTTCAGCAGGATACTCTGGAAATGGAACTTACTGTGAAGGTAAACATTACAATACAAGTTTATACGCAGGTCTCTAGTCCCTCGGCCCTTGTGAAAAACTACATCGTTGTCTTTTATGTCCCTATTCTCCGAGAACACACTGAATGTCGACGCACTCCATTTGGGTTTGCAAAAAACATACTAAGTTCATGAATATACGAATAAACTGCAACCTTAAATTGCATACGGAATAACTAAAATTTACCTTGTTTAATAAATAAAACCTACTTGTTTAAACACTTTAAAGGTAATAAATTATATGAATCGTTTCTCTTTCACCGAAACTTGAATTGTGTCTGTGTTTTTCTGATAATCTTGTCCCAGTGTTTTTTACTTTCTTTAAATTTTATTTTGATTTACATTAAGTTTATTACCGTTATCATTTCTCGTATACATCATTTTCATTCCATGTTTTTAAAACTACGCAAAAGATATAGTTAAGAGTTTTAAACGACCGGCATCTGTACGGTAAACTTACTGGTAAAGTGATAATGGTTGATTAAATTGACTGATCTGCAAAAATTGACGACTTTATATATTTGGCAGATATCAACGAATGCGATATCCACCATAATTGTCATGTTAACGCCATTTGCCGAAACACAAACGGGAGTTTCAACTGTACTTGTAAACATGGATACGAAGGAGACGGAATACTTTGCGCTGGTATGTGAAGAATTTTCAGATTCAAATAGTATACATGTTGAAATGTCGTAAACGAAATGTGGTAATTTTGAAGTTGTGAACATCTGTGGATTGGGAAAACTTGTCAAGGTCCATTAAGTAATAGAAAACAATCTCATACGGTTAAGGAGACATGCGAAGTTTGGGAGACGAGAAATAAGACTGCAACAACTTACAACTGCATGAGAAATGTAAACCAATTGGACGCAAGAAAACAGGAAAGCTAAGGTAGCTAGCGCTTATTTCCAGGCATCTCAAGGTATTGGGATGAAAACATGTCGGCACAGTTAACTTCAGTGCCAGATCACCGACAACAGCTATCGCCGGCATGAATGGGCCAGGGGCCATACAGAAATCACCTATATACGATCGACAGGTTTAAAATTCTCGTCTCGATGCACGTGCACAATTGTGATAATGAAAATTTTCAAATACAACGAACAATTTCCCTCGCTCGCGGCCGAGCATTTCCTACCTCTGCGTACATGTGAACACCAGCTTCTTTTTAAAATATATCCTTTTCACAGAAACCAACAAATGCAATATTTCGTGTCATTTGAACGCGTCATGTACAAATACAACCGGGAGTTATAATTGCACTTGTAACTCTGGATTTAGTGGAAATGGAACACAATGTTATGGTATGTGCAAAAGTCGAATATATAAATAGAAATTGAATCCAAGCGTTCTTGTGGCGCTAATATTGACAACGAAATAGCAGCTTGGTCTGCGAAAAAGCAAATACCAGCGTGTTTTTTCAAAGCAAAGAATACTGTAATGTAAGGGGCTCAAAGGTGACTACTCAGCCCGTTGAAAGAAGACATGGTTTTTTTTTCAGAACTCGTTTATCTATTGTAGTTTTAACTAAAGCAATATCATAATGGTATATCATTGTTAAACAACGCGTTTGATGAGAATAATTAATTTAATTTCATGAGACCCACAGGTCTGAGGTGCTGCTGGTTCTAGTTAGACAAGAAATACAATTTTTAAGGAATACAAGTGTTAGTTTATAAGATAACGTTTTACAAATTTTGCCTGCAATTTCAAAGATCGAGTTGAGTGCATAATTCGAATGCATGCAATAACACCTAACCTGGGTGCATGCATGATAAGGAAAATTAGCATGCGAAACCTGAATGCACAATCTCATAAACGTGAAATTATATTTATGATAATTAATTTAAATTTCTGAACATTCATTTAACTTTCAAGTTCTTCTAATTAAACTTACCTAAAGTTATTCAAAACATAGACAAATCAACTTTTTGGAACTTGTGGGATTTTATTATATACTATATATCTATGTTTTTTTGCTGGAAAACAAAAATACGCTCTTTGGCGCCCAATATTGTCTTTAGATAAGGACGAGTGTGAGATCAAGGATTCGTGCGATGAATACGCTCTTTGTAATAATACAGCTGGTTCTTTTATATGTGCTTGTAAGTCTGGATTTTCCGGTGATGGTCGCAATTGTACAGGTATACATTAACATTTATTTATAGCTATTTGTTTTGATACAAAATAAAACTGATCCAATCATCTCTTGATTAGAGAATGATAGCCTAAGTATGGTCATTTTTACTGCATTTATAAATGACTTTTTCACTTCACACTAATATTCTCATAATAAAAAAACAGCCTGTAAAAACATTGCTTGCAAATGTTCCTGTTTTCTGTTCGTTTTTGTGTCCATGCATGTCTCTGTAATCTCTTTTGCTGTATTTGCAGTGTCTCGACAGCAAAATGAAGTAACAATTTTATCTAAATAGACATAGACGAGTGTTTTACGGATAAGCCTTGTGATGTAAACTCAGTTTGTAACAATACAGTTGGATCTTTTGCATGTGTTTGCAATTTCGGATTCTCCGGCGATGGTCGTAATTGTGCAGATAAACATTTTCAACTAAAGCAATTTCAGATATATTTTCGCGTCAGAATAGCCATGTTGATGCATAATAATCAGATATTAATTATAAATGAAGCACCAAAGTAAAGGTTTAGTTTTTACTCACCCTGTACATTTGCACGTGATATAATTATAGGCAGAAATCGTAAACATCAGTTTAAAATAGAACAGAAAAATTAAATGAAAGAAAAACTAATAGTAATTTTCATCTGTGCTCTGTTTTCAGACATGGACGAATGTATAATTGAGGATCCTTGTGATGTAAATGCTATGTGTAATAATACAGTTGGATCTTTTAAATGCGAATGCAATTCTGGATATTTCGGTGATGGCTTGTCTTGTGCAGGTAAATCTCTCTTTTCTTCAGATAAGGACGGCAGTTCTATATCACTCAAATATTTATAGCGATTCCTAAAACGCGGATACATAAACACTACTTAACTACTGTATGACATGAGTAGTTTATTCGTAGCTAATTAACACCAAATTACAAAATTAAGATTATATTGAATTAGGTTATAAACATCGTAACCGAAATGTGGTAATTTGTGGACATCTGTGGATTGGGAATACTTGTCAAGGTCCCATTAAGAAATAGACTGAAACACTCTCAGTGTTTCCATATACAGTTATCGAAACACGCGTGCATCTCAAGGCATTTGGAGAAAAACACATTGTCACCCCAAGCCTGCATGGTTCTCATATATTTCGGCGAAGTTTTTTTATTATGTCACCGAAGGTCGGCAATGCATGGCTGTGGCTGCATGTTGACAAAAGAAAAATTGTTCAAAGCAATTCTAAGCACCGTTTTCTTCTATTGCTGACATAAAAAGGCTAGGCTAAACATACACAAATTACCTAAGTTCGATCGACAGGTTTAAAATTCTCTTTTTAATGCATGTGCACAAAATTGTGCCGGATAATGAAAATTCTTCAAATACAACGCAATGTTTCCCTCACTCACGGCCGAACATTTCCTAGCTCTACGTACATGTGAACACCAAAATCTTTTAAAAATATAACCTTTTTACAGAAACCAACAAATGCAATATTTCGTGTCATTTAAACGCGTCATGTACAAATACAACTGGGAGTTATAGTTGCACTTGTAACTCTGGATTTAGCGGAAATGAAACAGAATGTTATGGTATGTTCAAAACTCGCATATATATAAACAGAAATTGAATCCATGTGTTCCTGTGGCGCTTTTTATGACTACTTGTATACTTATAGTGTAAACTTAACTAACGTTATTAAAAACACAGACAAATGAACTTTTTGGTACTTTGTAGAATATTATTAATCTATGTTTTTTTGCTAGAGAACTAAATACGCTATTTGGCACCCAATATTGTCTTTAGATAAGGACGAGTGTGAGATCAAGAATTCGTGCGATGAATACGCTCTTTGTAGTAATACAGTTGGGTCTTTTATATGTGCTTGTAAGTCTGGATTTTCCGGTGATGGTCACAATTGTACAGGTATATGTTACATTTATTTATAGCTATTTGTTTCGATTCAAAAAAATACTGATCCAAATATCTCTTGATTACAGAAATGACATCCTAAGTATGGTCATTTTTACTGCATTTATATAAATGACCTTTTCACTTTATAAATTCTTATGTTCAGATAGACTGATATTCTCATCATAAAATAATCCAGAAAAGCATGCTTTCAATTGTTTCTGTTATCTGTTCGTTTTTGTGTCCTTGTCTCTGTAATCTGTTTGCTGTATTTACATGCAGTGTCTCTACAGAAAAATGAAGTAACTATTATATATACTAAATAGACAAGCATGAATGTTATACGGACAAGCCTTGTGATGTAAACGCAGTTTGTAACAATACAGTTGGATCTTTTGCATGTGTTTGCAATTCCGGATTCTCCGACGATGGTCGTAATTGCATGTGCAAGTAAATATTATCAACTAAAGCAATTTAAGATATATTTTCGCGTCAGAATAGCCATGTTGATGCATAATAATCAGAGATTAATCATAAATGAAACACCAAAGTAAAGGTTTAGTTTTTACTGACCCTATACATTTGCACGTGATATAATTACAGGCAGAAATCGTAAACATCAGTTTAAAATAGAAGAGAAAATTTAAATGAAAGAAAAACTAATAGTAATTTTCATCCGTGCTCTGTTTTCAGACATGGACGAATGTATAATTGAGGATCCTTGTGATGTAAATGCTATGTGTAATAATACAGTCGGATCTTTTAAATGTGAATGCAATTCTGGATATTTCGGTGATGGCTTGTTTTGTGCAGGTAAATCTCTTCTTTCTTCAGATAAGGATGGCAGTTCTTATATCACTCAAATAACGATTCCTAAAACGCGGGTGCATAAACACTACTTAACTATACTGTATGACATGAGTAGTCTATTCGTAGCTAACACCAAAATACAAGATTATACTGATCAAATTAGGTCATAAACCTCGTAACCGAAATGTGGTAATTTGTGGACATCTGTGGATTGGGAATACTTGTCAAGGTCCCATTAAGAAATAGACTGAAACACTCTCAGTGTTTCCATACAGTTATAGAAACATGCGTGCATCTCAAGGTATTGGGGGAAAACACATTGTCACACCAAGCCTGGTTCTCATATATTTCGGCGAAGTATTCATATATGTCACCGAAGGTCGGCAATGCATGGCTGTGGCTGCACGTTGACAAGAGAAAAAATTTTCAAAGCAATTCTAAGCACCGCTTTCTTCTATCGCTGACATAAAGGTGCTAGGCTAAACATACACAAATTACCTACAGTAAGTTCGATCGACAGGTTTAAAATTCTCGCCTCAATGCATGTGGCCAAAATTGTGATGATAAAAATTCTTCAAAAACAACGCAACATTTCCCTCGCTCGCGGCCGAACATTTCCTAGCTCAGCGTACATGTGAACACCAGCTTCTTTTTAAATATATCCTTTTCACAGAAACCAACAAATGCAATACTTCGTGTCATTTGAACGCGTCATGTACAAATACAACCGGGAGTTATAATTGCACTTGTAACTCTGGATTTAGCGGAAATGGAACAGAATGTTATGGTATGTGCAAAAATCGCATATAAATAGAAATTGAATCCATGTGTTCATGTGGCGCTTATATTGACTACTTGTATACTTATAGTGTAAAATTAACTAACGTTATTAAAAACACAGACAAATGAACTTTTTGGTACTTTGTAGAATATTTATCAACTATGTTTTTTTTGCTAGAGAACTAAATACGCTATTTGGCACCCAATATTGTCTTTAGATAAAGACGAGTGTGAGATCAAGGATTACTGCGATGAATACGCTCTTTGCAATAATACTGTTGGGTCTTTATATGTGCTTGTAAGTCTGGATTTTCCGGTGACGGTCGCAATTGTACAGGTATATGTTACATTTATGTATAGCTATTTGTTTTGATTCAAAATAAAACTCATCCAAATAATTATATCTTGATTAGAGAATGATAGCCTAAGTATGGTCATTTTTTCTGTATTTATAAACGACTTTTTCACTTTATAAATTCTCATGTTCAGAGATACACCAATATTCTCATCATAAAATAATCTGGAAAAGCATGCTTGCAAATGTTCTTGTTCTATGCCCGTCTTTGTGTCCTTGTCTCTGTAACCTGTATGCTGTATTTACAGTGTCTTCAACAGAAAAATGAAGTAACAATTTTATCTAAATAGACAAGGATGAATGTTATACGGACAAGCCTTGTGATGTAAACGCAGTTTGTAACAATACAGTTGGATCTTTTGCATGTGTCTGCAATTCCGGATTCTCCGGTGATGGTCGTAATTGTGCAGGTAGAAAATATTATAAACTAAAGTAATTTCAAACAATTTGACGTCAGAATAGGCGTGGTGAAGCATAATAATAAAAAATAATCATAAATTAAACAGTTTACACCAAAATACAGGTTTAGTTTTTACTCACCCTGTACATTTGCACGTGATATAGCTACCAGGCAGAAACCGTAATCATAAGTTTAGAGAAAAGAGAAAATTTAAATGAAACAAAATTCATACGAATTTCCATCCGTGCTCTGTTTTCAGACAAGGACGAATGTATAATTGAGGATCCTTGTGATGTAAATGCTATGTGTAATAATACAATCGGATCTTTTAAATGTGAATGCAATTCTGGATATCTCGGTGATGGTTTGTCTTGTGCAGGTAAATCTCTCTTTTGTTCAGATAAGGACGGCAGTTCTATATCACTCAAATATTTATAGCGATTCCTAACACGCGGATACATAAACACTACTTAACTACTGTATGACATGAGTAGCTTATTCGTAGGTAAATCAAAATTACAAACTTACATTGTGATTTATTTGGATTCAAGAATAATTGATACAAGATCATATAAGTACAAGAATAATAGATTGATGAATGTATAGTAAACCCTAGGTTTGCGGGGCCCAACTTACTGTAAGTACTATACAGTCATAAATACCGATACTCTTCTAGCCAAAAAGTAATAAGGTTGGGCGTTTTATAGTTCTGGTAATGGAATATTATGCTAATTTGTTTTCTATTGCACTGTCAGTAAAATGAAAATTTTTTTAATGCCACGTGATAAGAAACAACCAATTAAAAGACATTATATTAATAAGGTGTTATATAATATTCAAATAAGAATTGTTATGAGTTCAATGGTAAAAATAATTTCATGTGATGGAATGTTCAGTTTAACAAGGAAAAGATGAGTAAAATATTCCTACTATAAAATTTAATGAAAACAGTAATTATTTGTTTTATTGAATAACAAAATAGGTCGGTTTTTGAAATATTCATTAGTTACATGCACTAGTATTAAAACAATATGTGATTATAAATGGTAATCTCATGGATCATTGGGCATATTTCGACTCCTCATCAAATGCGTACCAGCACGTAGCTACGATAAATACTGTGAGTGAAATAATTATAGTGAAGGCGACAGTACAATTGATGGAAACTTTCATTGCACGGTCAGTAAGAGAGACATCAATACTAAGTGATTAAGAACAACCATTATAATCAAAAGACGCTAAATTATTAAGGTGCTGTTTACTTTCACATCACATATATGCTACGGAGGAAAATCTTTTATGTTTTGCGAATCGTAAATATTTATTTTTTACCGACAATACTTTTTGGCATTTTATATAGAGGTTAAATCATATGTTGGCAATTTATCAATCAAAAACCTTCAATACCGTTCAATCTACAACAACGTACAGAGTCACGAGTACATGGAATTACGCGACAATTTTACAAATGCTGTAAGTATTTTTAAACACTAATATGTAATTAAGTTAGAATAATATAAACTACGTTTTATGATTTAATATAAACTACGTTTTATGATTTAATATAAACTACGTTTTATGATTTAATATAAACTACGTTTTATGATTTAATATAAACTACGTTTTATGATTTAACATAAACTACGTTTTTTGATATAATAGTCCAAAATAAGGATTTTATAGTGTATTGTCAAAAATGCATGATTTGTTTCGAGAATTCATTGAAATGATCATTTTGAAAATGTAATGGAGCTTAATCCGTGACCAAATACTGTATGTTAGTGATTTCAATTGTTCCCGAGGGTGCGGCTTTGTGTGAAAATGTCCATCTAATTAAAGCAAAAGCCTAAGTTTAAACTCAACTTACTTCCTCACGCCCCCCCCCCTTGATTAAATTTACGTGAATATTTTTAATGTCTAGATTAAAGAATTGTATAAGAATACTTCGTATGGCAGCTTTCTGATTGATGTTATTATAAAACGAATATAGTAAGTAGCATCGTATCGTTTTAATCGCTCTGAGTAGTATGCACGAAAAAGTGTCAATTTTTCCCTATAAGTGACACCTTTTCCTGCAAATTTACGTGGAATTGTGCCATAGGCTACGAGCATATCATTATCATTCGGGAAGGGGGATGAATAAATCTGTCCGATTCTAAAGAACTTAAGTTGCTCTTGCTTAATCTCCGCCTTATCGATCATGAGGATCCTCCCGTCGATACGGCTTTGAAACTCGGATGTATGCCGCGTGAGTTGGTAACATTTTCTTGCTCTGATGATTTCTAATATCACAAACACCTTACCCTATAATTATTTCTAAAACACCGAGTCGTACCAATCCCTGAGAAGCCTCTTTCGCAGCATAATATGTTGACGTGGGTTTAACTTTATTTTCCTAGATCTCAAAGTGGTTCTGATATTGTAAATAGTAGTTTAGTATTTTGAGAAAAACCTTTTTATTAATTTACCCTCAGTATCATCTAAACAAACAAGAAACCTAATTTTTTAACAAGTGGGCACCCCATGGAAAATGAGACCATTTCCTCGTTTACAACTGAGTAATTGATTCTTCTTCCCAAAAAAAATATTGCATAGTATATCTGTTTAGTCTTTTATTAAATCTCTTTTTACATAGCAACGGATCCATTCGGGTAGATTATGAAGTGATATTTGACTCCAGCGCTACAAACATCACAGCACAGTCACTCAACACAGAACTGGAAAGTTTAGTAAACGACGCGAACGGTACCATTGGAAATGGTTTCGTTCTTCAGCAAGTGAATAACGGACGTCTGATCGTGGTCGAAGGTATGGCAGGACTTTTGCTGATTTCTTTTCGAAAAGAAATTTTCTTCTTGATTATGCAAATGTAGCTAGATAAAAAAGAAGCAAAATAAAGATATATATAGGAAATAAAACAAACACATTTATTCCCTCTGAAAGCTGCTGTAGTAGCTAAAACAGATTAAAAGAAAGCAATTTCAATTTTTTATAAAAGCAATCTCTTTAAAAAAGATCATATATAATTATTTGTTTCGCTATAATTATTACCTATACTATTCCAATTTACCGAAATATGGTATACTCGACCATGGTCAATGCGATGTTTTGTACCATACTTCAACACCTCTATGGAGTCTATATTTCGGTATATTCGACCATGCTAAAGTCGAATATACTATATCTGATATATTGGACCATATATACGAAGTTCGAATATACCATATATTGCTTGCCATATGGTATACTCGACCATGGTCGAATGGTATGACTGAAGTAGGTACCGAAGTATGGTATATTCGAATGATCATGGTCGAATATACCATGTTCCGGTACATTCAACCTTACCTTAAATTCGGAATAATTATTATAGGAGAATGACGTATACTCTACCATGGTCGAATGTTTATGACCGAAGTAGGTACTTGATCATGGTCGAATATTCCGGAAAATAGTATACTCGACCATGGTCGAATATCCCGGAATATTCAAAAATCGATCATGGTCGAATATAATTATAGTAAGGTTTGTGAAATTTGACTAATGCAATCGCATGAATCGCATCAGTCTGGATCCGCCCTTGTCTCCAGGTACTAAAGAGCCATAACCTATGGCAGACATTGTCCACTTATAACTTCGTATTGTTACTTTCATTTGATGGTTAAAAATACATGCACGCGAGCTGATTTGTAATATTCCTTTAGTTTAGGTTATTTAAAAATATTTATAATCAGTTTCAGTGTTGATCACTTAGATAAAGACGAGTGCAAGATGGAAAAACCTTGCGATGTCAATGCTGTTTGCAACAACACGGATGGATCGTTTGTATGTAGTTGTAATTCGGGATATTCTGGCAGTGGATTCACATGCACAGGTACGCAAACAATGCACCCGTCTTCCGTCACGGACAAATGAACTTAATTGAACTTTGCGGGATATTATTTATCTCTGTTTGGTTGCTAAAGCCCACTGCACGCGAGAGTTATCAGCTGAGCTAACGACCTTGCGAGGCAGTTAGCTCAGCCCAAAAACCATCTGCACACGTGAGAAACTTGCCTCTCTAGGCGAATTCCTCGCGTAAAACTACCGGCACACTAGAGTACTAGTAGTTGCTGAGCTAACAACCAGACGAGGTCTTTAGCTCATGCAGCTAATAGCTCTCGTGTGTGACGGGCTTAACGGACTAACTGCCAAGTATGTTATTTGATAGTTGATACCCAATAAATTATTGTTTTTAGATAAGGACGAGTGTGCGGTCAAGGATTCATGCGATGAATACGCTCTTTGTAATAATACAGTTGGGTCTTTTATATGTGCTTGTAAGTCTGGATTTTCCCGTGATGGTAGCAATTGTACAGGTATATGTAAACATTACAGTTTTTTTAAACACATTATAATACCGATGCAAATATCTCTTTTTTAGAAATATTCAGATACATTTATATATTTACGTATCATGGAAAAGTCTGGAAATGCGCGCATTCTAATGTTTCTGTCCAAATTTGTGTCTTTTCACACTCTGTATGGACATTGACCTAACAGAAAGATGAATTTACTATTGTATTTATTTAGACAACGATGAATGTTATACGGACAAACCTTGTGATGTAAACGCAGTTTGTAACAATACAGTTGGATCTTTTGCATGTGTTTGCAATTCCGGATTCTCCGGTGATGGTCTTAATTGTACAGGTAGTTATTATCAGCTAAAGCAATTTAAGATATATTTTCACGTCAGAATAGCCATGTTGATCGATGCATAATAATCAAAGATTAATTATAAATGAAACAAACTAATCTCCGGGCGGAATTAGTATACCCTCGCACGGTGCTCCGCACTGGCTCGGGGATTAATCATAAATGCATGAAACAGTTTACACCAAAGTACAGGTTTAATTTTTACTCCCCCTATATACATTTGCACGTGATATACCAAGCAGAGATAGTAATCATAAGTTTAAAAATTAATACTGTAGAAGAGAAAATTTAAATGAAAGAAAACTAATACAAATTTTCACTCCGTGCTCTGTTTTCAGACATGGACGAATGTATAATTCAGGATCCTTGTGATGTAAATGCTATGTGTAATAATACAGTCGGATCTTTTAAATGTGAATGCAATTCTGGATTTTTCGGTAATGGCTTCGCTTGTGCAGGTAAATCTCACTTTTCCTCAGATAAGGACGGCAGTTCTATATCACTCAAATATTTATAGCGATCCTAACACGCTGGTACATAAACACTACTTAATTATTGTATGACATGAGTAGTTTATTCGTGGCTAACTCCAAATTACAAGATTATATTGTGATTGCCACTAACTGTAGTTAGAAGATGGGTCTCCGGACTCTGGTATATGCTGCATAATATATGTTGATAACTACAGTTATTATAATGAGTTGTATTAATAAACAATGTCTGCCAATGTTTGTGATGTTTATAGTGGTGAAAACTTACATTGGTCGCTTTTCAATTAAAAGTCTTCAATACCGCCAGATCTACAGCAACACGAGCAGTTCCGAGTACATTAAATTACGCTATAATTTGACAAATGCTGTAAGTATCTTAAAAAACCCAATAATTTACTTCTAGCTTCAATATCGTATGACAGCTCTTCACATGCTCGGTCTGTATCGAAAAATATCAGTCCTCGACTCCTCGGTCTTTTCGTACAAAAGATATTTCCCGGAAATGACAAGTCAATACTGCGCTGTGCTACTATAGCACAGTTAGATTAGTTATTTTTATGATTAGGAGCTTGTTATATTTTTAATTAATCAATTACATTTCATCTTTTTATAATTATTCAGCTAAAGGAGTTGTATAAAAAAACCGCTTATGGTGCATACGTGGTTGATGTTGTTATTAACAAGATTTCGTAAGTATATAAATTTTGCGTAATCATGCACAATTCACAAAAGTTACCCTATTTTGAGTCATGCAATTTGATAAATTGAAATATTTGTGATGGTGAACGAGAGACAGTTCACAAATAATTTTTGTCAATATAAGTAAGGAATATAATAAAAATCAAGGCCTTTTTATCCTTAACGGAAGACAAAAGCCAATCCCAATCTCTTTTTCACCTGCGTGAAAATTAGTCATGTTCGGAAGAAAGTGGTTATATCCCCTCGACAAACCTCGTTTTGCCGAGATCATAAACAAAAATACATTAAATTTTAAGGAAATATGAAAATCTACTTCTATTTCAGTCAATAATTATTTTCATTCGTTAGCAATGGATCAGTAATTGTAGACTACACAGTGACATTAAACTCTGCATCAAATGTCACAGCAGTGTTGCTCAATACAGAATTAGCTCGAGTAATTAACATCACTAACGGTACCATTGGGAAAGATCTTGTTCTTGGATATATTCAAAGTGGACGTCTGTTTGTCCTTGAAGGTATTCTTTGATCCGTGTTTCAGTTAAAGTTTGTTTTAGGATTCCTCGCATAAAAATTTGTTCTTCATACAATTGTACAGCAAAGCAGAGGCGCCGAAAGAAGCTTAAGGCGGGGGAAGAAGTCGATAGAGTACATTCGAACCTTACCAAGGACGGCGAGAGATCGTTGAGGGGGGGGGGGGGTGAGAGGACTAATATTTATAGTTTTTATATTCACGTTCAGCATTATCAGTTCCTATCGAGATTGATTGTTTTACGGTCTGCGAACATGAGTATATACTGTCTGAATATTACCCTCCCCGAACTTAAATATCTTCCGCCGTCCTTGAGCCTTACCAACCACATCGGTAAGGGGCTTAAACTTACAACAGGTCGCAAAAGAACGTTTATTTCAATAAAACTATCAGTACGTTATAATGAGAGGGGCGGGCGTTATAATGACAATAAAACTTGCTGTATGGGAAAAAAATATGGTGCTCCCGCTTGCACCCATAAGTGCATGACGGATATTGAGATGTTCCCACCAGCCATGTAGATCCGATGAGTCTGCACCAATACCGTAACGGGAAAACGTATTAAAGGGAAAAATAGTACAGGCGTCATAATTATAGTAGACACATGTGTGGAGTTTTCGCACCGAGAACCTTTACAAAGGTATTAAGTGCAGGATGTAGTCTTTTATTACTCTGATGGTATATTTGATTAAACTAGAAAGGTCTACGCCCCACTCGTTGCGCCGGCACTTTGGCGAAGCAAAGACGGAACCCTAAACAAGCTAGGCAAGATAATTTTAATAGCTCTGTCAATATGAATTTCCATGCAACGTTTTAGATAAGGACGAGTGTGCAATCGATGATCCTTGTGGTCTGAATGCTGCTTGTAATAACATTGATGGATCTTTTACATGTGTTTGTAATCCTGGATTCTCTGGAGATGGTTTGACTTGTACAGGTATATTGTCCTTTAACTAGGTAGTATTTCATCTACTCGATTTGAATGTTTTCAAAAATTTGACAGAAAGGATTTTTCTAGAGAATGCATGGAAACCATGCTTCCTTTACAAGACACAGCACGATAAATGTAAAACGTTTGCACGTCTTTTTTATACAGATATCGACGAATGCACCAGTGGACCTTGTGAGAAGAACACCACTTGTACAAACACACTTGGCTCATTCAATTGCACATGTCAAAATACTGCATGTCTTCCCAAAGAAGACGATGACGATGATGACCTGAGTAGGTTTCGTTGGTTATTTCGCTTCTTTGTGTTATTAATAATAAAACATGCACGAATGAGAGCACCTTCACCATCTTCAGTCTATATATCGTAAAGAGCTTAATTTCGACAGAAAAAAGGCTTTAGAAAGAGAGTCCTAAAGAGGGTGAAATGGCAACTGAGATTGCCCTATTTTTACGCTGGGAAAATTGAATTTTGTTCCTAGAAATGGGATTTGATCTTTTCAAAGATTGGGATTTTTACAATTCAGACTGGGATTTCTTATAAAAGTTTTACTGGAACTGGGAATTTTCGAAAATTCGTAGTGGGAAATAAGATTGAACCCCCCCCCCCAATTCAGGACCCTTTCAGTGGAAAATTTCTCGGTGAATTAAGTGATCAAAGTGTGAATTGAAATCTACAATCTTAGCCAAAAGTTAATAGGACGGCGCACGCTATCGCGTGTGACCACCCTCGCTCGCATTTTCGCCGATTCCCCCCCCCCCCTTTTCAATGTTGGTCCCTAATTAATATATTAATTGTTGTAATGTCGTAAAAACGAAAGTGCATTAGAATTCAACATTGGATGAGGGGGGAAGGGGGAGAACATATTTTTAGAGAAAAAAAATGCAATCGTCCCAAGCGTTTTGGCCAAGATTGTAGAAAAATGCGGCATACTCACGATAAACATTGAGCAAAAAACTGTTGAAATTTCATCTTAAAATTCATCTCTTTTCAAATATATGTATTTATATATTGCTTTTCATTTTGTTAATTTCTGATCTCTATTTGTCATTACCAGGTGCTGGTATAATTGCTTTGATTGTTGTTATTCCCATTGTATTTGTCATATTGGTAATTGTACTGGTCATTTGTCAGCAACGAATAGAACAGGTTTGTCGAGAGAAAATATTGTTATCATCCACCTTAACTTGAGAGAAAATGACTTGTGTTATCATCGATACATTCACCATTTTAGTGACGTTAACTTTTAGGTTAAGGGCTAGCTATAACCACGATATGGGCGTTTTCCTAAAGCCTGTCCCCGCTGCCCTAAACTGCTTTCCGCACCTTTGTCCTTAATTATTAAAATAGTTTTGCAATATTTGCTGTTGTTGATGGCAAACTTTAAATCGAAACGGTATTATTTACACTTAGGAAAAATTAGATGTGCAAATGACCTCCCTTTGTCTTATCCGTTAGCTATGTAGACGGTGAATACATTGCACTGAAACTGAGCTATATTGATACCCTCTAAATATGCGACTGTCTGCGCAAATACTAAGCCTGCGGAGCAAAAAGAGAAACGCGAAAAAAAAAAAAATCGCGAAACGTGGTATAGTAATTACCTGACCTTTTGTAACTTATTTCGTTACCAAGCATTTCGCTTTAACTAAATTGATGCATTTCATTGTAGCGAGAAATGGCCGTAATAAATCAAGGTGACTCAGGAGTTGCCTTGCAGAGAATGAAACGTACAAATGACGAATTCGAAAACCACGGGTACAAACATGACGACGATATGGCAGGGATAGGAAAAGTCTGAGGTTAATTCTGTCAACATTCTATTCTGCATTATTCTTAGGGCAGAAAGTTTCGATTTTATAATGTTATTATACAAATGATAGATTTTTAGGTTACTAAATAATTATAGGGTATTACATTTTATTGAAACCCATTTTTTCCATTTGACGTGTCCTCTAAACCGGATTTTATCCTGGGTACTTTCAGTTGCACGAATCTGAGCGAAAAATTGCTGATTGCCAATATTATCAGTCGAGTCGGGGGGGGGGGGGGGGATAGTCATTTCCCACGGAATAAAATGACGCAATTAGCCTTTCTTGTGGTGACGATGATGAGTCTGCCTTCATTTTAAGCCCGTTTTCTACTAGGCGAATTTATTTGCGCGAAGAGATAACGCAATTTAACCAACTCACATAACCTGATTTCAGATATCGTTTCGCGTCGTGCAAATAAACTCGCCTAACGGCTGGCTTTATAGGAGTTATAACTAGCGATTATTTTCAACAACATACTAGTACTAAATTCACTCAGTAAATTGTCTTTTGATTATTAAAGTTTGCTTTTCGTATATTGTCATAAATGGTTAAGGTCGTTTAAGTAACTTGAGTGTGTGAACACCCTAAATATGGGATATTGTTCATCGTGGGAGAGGCTATTTCGCGTGTCTTTCGCCGCTGGTGGGCGGATCATTGTTGAACCTTCAGGTTGGCGTTAATACTGTTTCATTCTACGTCTAAAGATGGGGGGGGGGAGAGGCTGCTCCAAAGCTCCAATTGGTTCACGATGGGTCCATGGATAGCCCGAACGAGAAATATTTTATATTTAATTGTATACCTTCTGTATAATCAGGGGAAAATACTTTAATTTCATAATTAATCACGGGGTGCGATTAATCATGAGCTTAAATTGTGTCTTAATTAAGTACTTTTCCTTAAAACAAGTTGATAACATAAAATTAATAAGTTATAGAACGAATGGCAAAATCATACTCGTGATTAACACTCCCGCTACGCGGTATACTCGTATATACTCGTATGATTTTGGCATTGATAGCACTCCTATTCGTTTTATTACCTTTATTAATTGTTTTTGGCACAATTAAATTTCACCAAAAAATCAATTGCACTAACGTTCACGCGTGCACGTGTACCATGGATAGTTAAAAGACTATCCATGTGATAGTACGCATGTGATTTTATTATCCATGATATAACCAATATACTTTTTATATTGCGCTAAGACTGTTTCATTCTACTTTCAAGCATTGGGGGCCTTGCTCCAAGCCTCCAATGGGTTCACGATGGGTCCATGGATGGCCCGAACGGAAATTATTCTATTCTTAATTGTTCTGGGCACAATTAAATGTAACAAAATTAAAAATCAATTCCGCTAGTACAAGTGCGTTAATATAGCTCATATTATACTGTTGCACTTTTTTTTTTGGGCCTCGATCCCCCGGAAACTGAAACTGTCGTTCCAGGTCTGCGCTGCCAAATCCAAAATGGCCGACCATTTGGAAGTCCAGAATTTAGCTGTTGGTAAAAATCGTGATTGAATTTTGCAGAAATTCGATGCAGAATGAGGTTTAAAATACGACCCAAATTATCCGCTTTTATATATGATTTTATAATAATCATTTTATAACCCGTTTTGGTATTGTCGGCTGTCGCTTCATAAAATCAAACATAAACAGATCGTCCCAACAGAAATTTTCAAAAAGCTGAATCTCAAGGACAAGGTATCAGGTACGTGCGACCATATTTCACACATATTGGAGACACGTATCACAAAGCTGTGTGCATTGATTCATTAAATAAGTTCTTCTTCAAAACAGCTAACTGAATACTGCAATTTGGAATGAATAATATTTCACTTTTAGAGTCTAGATGGCTAGATATAGCCATCTAGATTAATATTTTTAATCCACATCAATTTCACACGAACATCTGCAAACAAGCTGTTGTTTTCACACTGCTTGTCCCAGAAAGTGAGAAAATGGGACAGTTGTTTGTGGTAACAAATTTTTGAATTGCCAGACGTTTGGTGTCGCATTCGTAACTATAACTACAATTGATGAAAGGTTGAATGCTTGATATCACTGTGATATCACAAACAGCAATTCATATATTTCTATTTAAAAGAGTGCATCTGCCCCTTTACAGGAGAGGACGGAAAATTTCCTTTCCCTCTCCTGCCAGGGTCGTTCATTCCAATGCTTTTCTCAATTGCAACGCCTTACCATAAAATAGTTTGAGGAAACTTGGATTGAAATCAGACTTGTTAGAAGCTGTTTCTGATTGAAACGTGCTACTGACAACAACATAGAAGAACCGTATGGGTTGGGGGGGGGGGTCTGTGGAGGTGGAACAAGTAATTATTCATAATATATCCATGTCATGCTTGAAAACAAAATTTTATTGATGTTTGAGAAATAACATATCACACATCTATTAAGGTTTTATAAAAGCGTCATCTAACATATAAAATTACAGTAGTTGAATTATATCCTTGTATGGGTGGTCCAATAACGGTTCATTCCTGGCGAATTCTTTGGGCTATAGATTTAAAAATTAGTACAATTAATATGCGATTCTTCGATTTTTGACTGGATTTAGGCTGTAAAAGGAAAGTGATACTGTATCTTTACTTTGGACTAACATAGTCGAATTTTTATTGAGGGATATTGTATTGAACACACGAATTTCTGCACATACGCACTTTTGCAGTTTTCATATTGCATTCATATTCGTCGATTCAATTGAATCGACTTAGTTTCGTTGATTTTTTTTCAATTGTGATCTGTTATTTGCTTCAGTCGACTTTTTACAATTTGAAAGGAAATTGAGGAAAATATTTCACCCGATCAAAAAATGCTGCCTATTTGAAAACCACCATTTATTGCTTCAAGAAAATTCTCAGAAAATATACCGTGTGCACGAAAATTAATTCATTTTTGCTTGAAATTCTCATAATAACTTATTTTACTGTCTTTTGAAGTTTTACTTACAACTAGTCATATTTGCCACTAGTAGTATTTACCACCAGATCGGCTGCCGCTTCGGCTACGACTTCTGCCCCCGCTTCGACTACGACTCCTGCTTCGGCCACGACTTTTGCTGCGACTCCGACTTCGACCACGGCCTTTTCGACGTCTACGCCGGTTTTGCCGCCTCCTATAGTATCGACGACTAGGCATAGCCATTGGATCAGCAAGCAACTTGTCTGCGACAGAGCTGTAAAAAATCCGCACTATTTAGCTAATACTGTTGTTTGTGTCGATTGCACTGTCATAGGCCTGGTGTGCTTTTTGTTCCTATTACATTTAGTTTGGCATACAGGAAACTACACTGTAACTGCAAACAGCAAGTTTTTATTGCAACTTGGGGAATGATAACATTATAACGATGACATAATATGTGACCCTCCACGGGAAAACCAACATTAACGGTTTGAAAAAACGGGCTGAAATACCGTTTGCTATCCGTTTTCTATCCGTGAAAATCAAAAACGGTTGCCGTTTAAAAATTTTAAACGCCCGTTTAAATTTTATTGCTTGGCGTTTAAACGGTTTGTTCAAAACGTGAAAACGTTTTCATCGATCCGTGAAAACGTTTTGGGCGATCCGTGAAAACATTTTGGTAGAGCTGTGAAAACGTTTTGCTTTGGCCGTAAAAACGTTGTGGTAAAACCGTGAAAACGTTTTGGTAGAGCCGTGAAAACGTTTAAATAAAACCGTGAAAATGTTTTATTACAGACGTAAACATGCAGGTTTCACCTTTCACCTATATAACCAGTGTAACGTTTCCGCTAGCGTGCAATTAAATATTTCCATCCAACAGTCAGGACGACCTTGTAAAGTTAATCGTATAAAACTATATAAAATGTAATAAAATGTTTATATATCAGAGGCAAGCAAAATGGGTCGAACACCAAAGTGAGATATATATATCACTGATTACAACAAATCTAGTTCAGGTTTATAATGCTTATTAAAGAAGTATGATTGATTATATGTCTATCTTTCAATAAAGTATTATCACAGAAGCGAAGACACAGCCGCCCTTGATGATTTGCCAACTTGCACTGCCAGAAACCCATCACCTGGGTCAACAGGCCCCAAAATGCTTTTTCGCAATTATAAATGTACCTATTTCTATAGTGCGTGTGAGAAGACATATAGTTTAAAATTTATTACAGCAATTAAATTCTATACACATACTAAGCAACATATCTGAGATGCAAAATAATTCAACTAATTATAACGAGAGATATCTGGTATTTGTTATGCAAATACTTATATAGATATAATAAATACGCACATTCATGATCCATTTTGGCAAAAACAACTAATTAATGCGTTATAGGATCGTGTGCGAGTTTCCTGTTATATTATATCAACTTTTATATACGCTATATTACACATTTTCACAATATTTTCAACAAAGTGCATTTAACCAATCTTCGCCAGTGCGTGTCGAAGTTTGAAAATGGGTTGGTAAAAAATCACGATCGGTATGATATATATAAAATCGCCGTTTTTCTGCCATATCGATCGCTTTTTAGACTAGTTATATATGCTTTCATTTTGAGAACACACGACTACACAGTCATAATAGCCTTATGCTGTATAATCAGATTATTCTAATCCGTACTTAAAATTGACGCAATATTTATGTATGTTATTGAAAAGATTTGACCTCTGTAGGAAAAATATGAGCTCTATGTCAAATCTTACTTAACTAAGAATTCTTGGTGGTCACAAAATATCTCTAAATATTTCATAATGAAATACTTTATCTCCTTCCATATTTTAGAGCATCTGCCAAAACTTTAACAGTAGAATATAGCTAGCATGTTATCTGAATAATATTATACGCTATCTGCGCTACACTGCATGAAAAAAAGTTTTTGTTAGTTGAATATGGGATCGAAGGCCTGCGTTCTGTAATCCAAACGTCAAGATTTCCGCCCTGAAAAGCAACTTAATACTCCATCCCGGCGCAAAGGTGCACAATTTTTTAGCCAAAACATATAGCAATTACATATACTGCCCTTATAGAAACAGCGGATCGAAACTGTCAAAAATGCGCACAATTTTTTCTGCAAAGCATATAGCAGTGCAGTCGCCCATATAGACGCGACAATCCCAAACGCACGCACAGGGGAGTTTATACTCACCATTATAACAAAAAATCAATCCACATCATCTTCGAGACATCTAATTGTGACACAATTTGTGCCCCCTGCCTAC